AGAATGACGTCATCGTTATTCTTATTTTGTTAGACTTTTCGAACGATTCGTTTAGAACTAAATGGCTGTTTCTAAAATCGAAGATACAAATGTTGCTAGTACAGCCTTATCCGAAATATTTTTCTTAGATTGCTTCGAGTGGACAGTTACTTCAATCATTTCATCTTTTAATTCACAATTTAAACACTCGAGTAGATTTAGAAACATCTATATCATCGGGCGCCATTTTCTTAACGAAGTAAACTAACTCTTTCCTTCGTGAAATTCGTTAAGAGTTTCGTTCGAAACGTCATCACTGCAGAGCATGCGCACTGAGCGAGACTACTACTATTCGAACGATTCGTTACTAACGCGTTTAACTCGTTTGACTTTACGAACATACCCATAGTTGCAATTAATGCTGCTTTCCACTGATTGGCTAGAAGTTTGGCTTGTGTCTCATTGGTTGAAAAAGTCAGGCATTAGAAACTATTGATAAATTGTCTCTGTTAATGTATGTCAAAAATGTTTTATTTGTACCTAATACAGATGCATACTGTATTTGCTATCATATTTATAAAATACAATACCTCCAATCAAACCTATTACTGTTTATTGTGTAGGAACCTCTAAATTTAAAAACCTATCTATCTCAATTTTTCTTGTCTCATGAGACTTGAGATAGACAAGTTAAACTGTATAATCTAACATTAAAATAAAACACAATTATAATTATGTTTTATTTTAATGTTGATCAGGCTGTCTCTTCAGTTAATGTTAGGATAAATAATTATTTATCCTAACATTAACTGAAGAGAAAGCCTGATCAACAAGGCAATAATATAAGTAGACCCCCTATAACATGGATTCATATAATGCAGATTTGTATATCGCAGCAAAAAAATTGCGACCATATTGCTAAAAGAGACTCGTAAAATGCGGTAAAACGTCATCGCTGACTCGTGTCACGATAGGATTGGTCGAATCTGGACCAATAGTGGACGAGCAGCCGAACTACTTACACGCTACGGAGAGTTTAGACGGGTAAATTGAGTTTACTATCATCTGTATAGTATATAAATTAGGTACTGTAAGTCTAATACAGTACTGTAATTTTATACATTTCTTGTGAAAAAAAACATTTCTTATTCAACACCATAAAAATTATTTCTATTAATGATGTCTCTAAAGTTCAGCGAATTTTTCGCGAAAAATAACTTATTAGAAAACACGCCCGCTGTTTAGTGCGCTGCTCCACGATGAAAACAAGCTTAAGCAATGGCGTCATTGAACAGTGCACACTCGGTAAGTAATCCTACAATTTTTTGTTTATAGCATAGTTTATATGAATTATTCCCCAAAAAATTGTGTGTTTTGGAAATGTTGAGTCAAATTAGTCTAGAATCGATTAATTTTACGGAAGAAAACCTTTCAAACAGCCATAGTCCGTAAACTGCACAGGTACTAGGCTGTGATTGGCTCATGTATTTAAGGATTCCTACAACGCGAAATTCTTATAAAGTGGAATGTATCTACCGCATTATAGGGGGGTTGACTGTATACCGTATAATCCAAACTGAATATATGCCTGAAAAAGATTCCAATTTGGAATGCTGGTAATAAATCATAAGTTTGAATCTTATTATGAATTGTTATTTTATCAAATTTTTTATGTAGTCAATTAATTTATTATACATTATTTGATTTTTAAATTTATCAACACAACAGTACACAGTGGAATAAAACACCAATTATCTGAATCATTACATGATTTATTAGCCATGTAACAGCCCAATACACTTTAGCAAATTATTAAATATTTGATATTAATATTAATTAAATTAGTATTTTTTCCATATATATTCTATTATTTTACAAATCATACATTTCCTGTTAATTACATCACTATGTAAACATTTACAATCAATTTGAAGAAATTTTTGGAAGCAATTTGTAATGAATTAATTAGATTGTAATGTTGAAAATGAACAAAGCAAGCAATGACTTTAAAAATGTTCTATAAAAAAAAAAATAATAATATTTGTGTTAAACTAAGTAATTTAAATTTTTAATAATTATTAATCAGATAATCAAACTACATACTAGTTTAAACAAGTTTTTTTTAATAACTTCATCAAATTATGAATTATGATGTATGTTGCTAGCTTGACAGTTTATTTTCTCACTTCCCAGTATCTAAATCCCTAATTCAATTTCTGCTTTGGAGAGATAAAAAAGCTTCATCAATTCTGGTTTTAGTTTTTAAATTAAAACTGAAGAAAACAAATATTTTAAGATATTTGTTGTATATCTTTAACAGCCTTTATGAATTTTTTAAAATGCAACAGTAATACAATCAAAGTTTAAACCGTTAACTTGTTTTGACTTTTTCACAAAATAAATTTTTTTATTAAAATTTAACTACATTACTATCATTTGCAGTTAATGAACAAGACAGAACAAGATTTATATATTATTAATAAAATTTTGGACTCCAAATTATGCCAGTGATTATGAAAGTGGTTTAAGTCAAAAATGAAAAAACATTGAATTTATTTCACAAACTATTCATAAAATTTTACAATTAAAAAAAAAAAAACAAATGTATTTTGCAAGAGTAAATATATTTGTGTTTTCATTTTTATGATAAAAAAATATATATATTTTTAACTTATAAATTCAAAAATCAAAATCTCTCCAAATGAAAAATGACTTGGGCCATTTCATACTCAACAGCACAATTAATCAATTATAATAATCAGTAACTTATTTTTCTGCAACTATTCAAACAAAACCAAAGTTTAAAATCTACAATTTCAATTTTATTGAAAGTTAAATAAAAATATTCAAAAGATTAAATATTTCTCAAATTCTCCAGTTAGTCATAATATAATTGTAATGATTAATAAAATTAGGTAAAATAAAATAATCATAAAAAGATTTATTTATATTTAGCAAAATTTTATATTAAAAAGTGATAGGTATCAGAGTTTGGTTAAAGAAATGGGATTTTCTTATTTTAATTATTCAAAAAGCATATTTAGTCTTATATATATGCTATTTTGGTTTATATTATTAACTTATTTTTTTTGGACATTTTTTTCCTACTGTTACTTAAACATATTTAGTAATTTTGTTTTGCTTTTTAATTTCAAAAAATATTATAAACAGTGTATTTATTGTCTAAAGTTTAGTTAAATAATTTGAAAAAAAATTATATACAAACAGAAAACACTGAAAGAAATGTTTAGAGACAAATATATAATTATAAAAAACTAACAATTAGAAGTAGAAAATAATAACCAAATAACAAAATGAAATAATCAAGTTAATTCTATAATTTAACAAATAGAATCTATGATATATTAAAACATTTAAACTTTCATTTAATTTACTTTCACTGAAATTCAAATTATAATTCCTTTCTGAATAAATGAATAAATTTTACTGCAATTCAATTAAAAATTTATGAAATGATATTTAAAATTATAAAAAACAATCTACTTTTTAAAATGACATACAATTAAAAAAACAATCTATCTAAAGATAACATTGCACCGCATATTGTATCAATGATTATTATTTATTAACACATCAATTACATTTGTCTCAACAGTAGTTTAAAATTTTTAAACAACAAATTCCTTATACAGTAAAAAAATTGTAATTTCCACTGTCACTGTCACGACACAATATCAAAAATGATAAAATTTCAATTTAGAAACACATCCCAATGAATAATCTTTAAAAATAAAGATACTGTGATATAGTTCAATTATGCCATACATAAATATTACAACCAAACCTCGACACTAACCCTTAAAAAAATGCAGCTTTTTTTTTAATTCACTTTTAAAATGTTTTCGGCCATTTGAATGACCTTCTTCGGGAACAACAAATCAAATGATTCCGAATTTCTATAACAACATTTATTTTGGAACATTTTAAATGTTTTTCACTCATTTTCATCAAAAATGTTTCAAATGTTCCAAAACAAATCTCGTTATAGAAATTTGGAATCATTTGATTTGTTTGTTCCCAAAGATGGTCATTCAAATGGCCGAAAACGTTTGAAAAGTGAACAAAGGCTGCATTTTTAAAAAATAAGTGTCCAGGTTTGGTTTTTATTTAAGTGCAGTCAGAGAAGAGTATAAATATTATAAAGCCTAATACGTCAACTTCAAACTCTAAAAGTATATTATTTTCTTCCTACGCATCAAACATTAATTGTTGTATAGATTCAAATTAATAAAGTTATTTCAAATAGATTGTATATGTTTTGTTAAATCTCAAAAGTATAAGAAGTGAAAGTGTTTCTTTATCATCCTTTCCTTTTTGAAATTTTGTATGAAAAGTAGGTTAAGTAACATTCATTTCTTAAAAATCAAATTACCAAATGTAAGAATAAATTCAAAACCTGATCATTTTAATACATCAAAATTACATATATAATGAAACCAGAGTTTAAACTTGTTCATTTTTTTTTAAATATTACTTTAAGAAATGGTTAAAATTTCCTCCTTTTTTTGTAACTAATTAAAATTCAAACCTGAGCAAACTAACAACCACCTATCATATGTGTATATGTATATCACTCCCAAAAAAAATTGAAAGGAATGACTCAGCCCATATACTTTAAATTAACACGCAAGTATTTCCCATACTGTCAAAATGATAAGATGAAAATTTTAAATCAACTTCATCTATCTGAAAGGTATCTTCAAAGTTTAATACATATTAAGAACACGCGTTTCACGATCAAATTTTTTAAAATTGATTCTCATCCATTAAAAAAACATTTATTAATCATTATAGTAATGTACTACAATTACGATTAACAAACGTAAAATTTCTATCTATTGAAATCGAACATAAACAGAAGAAATAAATCAATTTCTCGTACAAGCCACTATTCACGTTTTACATATTGTATTGTTGGAGAGAAGTGAATGTTTATTATTATTTTCGTAATGCTACCCATCGTCACGAAGTGTAAATCGTACAGGAAGTGAGATATTTACCTTACTTATCCTTCTTTTCCGAAATAACTAACTGTCCACCATGCCTCCTCAGTTCCTTCTCGATTCCTCTGATGCGGACAGTGACGTCATGCATGACATCACCCACCAGATGGCGATGCATTCGACTGTTCCTGTGACGCAAAAGGATGATCCAATGACGTCACTTACTTGTGTATGACGAATTAGAGTTCTTTATTTTTTAATTTTTTCACTTTAACATTTTATTCAGTCTATAATATCCACATAAAATAAAGGAATATATTTTTCTTATTAAAATGTTTAATTTTTCATATATATTAGCTTTATTATTAATTAAAATGTAGAAAATTGTTACGGATAATAACAGTAATAGTACTTTTTATTGTTTTTAATTGAGTTTTCTACACATTTTTTCATAGTGAATATTCTAGTAGAAAGAAATAGCTTTCTTCTAACGAACGTTAACACTTCGTGACAAAAATTATGATTATTTGATAAATGATGATTGAATATAATTACATGTGCTCCAAGGTTTTTGGATTATATCGTTACTTCGATATTAATTCTAAAGTAGAAATAGTCAAATAAAAATGGATAATTAATTATTTAATAATCTTTTTTAAGTTTATTTCTCTTAAAAATTCAGAAATATATTTTTTTCTTTTTGTAATAGAAGGAAGCCTTATATATTCTGTGTGTATGTGTGTGTCTATATATATATATATACTGTATATAAACGTTTAAGATTGTATTTATTATTACACTATGTATTATTATTAATGATATTTATTATATTTTAACCACACGGAATAGTGCGAAGCTTTAATTTTAAGTTTAATCTTCGAAATATAATACATATTTAATCGTAGTCTTTATGCAGTATTTAAAACTTGCTCTAAAGCAGTGTATGCCTTGCCTTTTCTTTTCCTTTTTTTTTAATTTACATATTTAATATGTCTAGTTTTTGCCTAATATTTGTTTTTCATATAAAGGGATATGCTAAACCCTTGAATAAAGCTTGACACATAAAAACTTCATATCATTTGTATGAATGTCTATTTGATAATTCATAAAAACTATAGGTAAAAATAAATAAATTAGTAAACATTACATGATTAATCATATCATAGATTAATATACCTATGATTAATCATTGATCATTAATCATAGGTATATTGGATTATTTTACAAATATGTTAATATAATTATTTATTATTATTATATAGGCTTATTTTTTCCACATATTTTAACTAGAAATAAGAAAAAACTTAAAATTAAAAATATCTCGTTTATTATCTTATTAATATTAGAATTAATTATTTAAAATTCAACGTAAATATTGATATTTTGGAGAAAGATAATACAGACCATTCCATTTCGATACTTATAGTCGAGATTTTAAGGCGAAAGATATTTTAAACATTAATATAAATTTACTCGTAAATATAAATCAATAATTTTAAATGAAGATATATAATAACAAATTAATTTTTTCTATATTTTTAATATTTAGAACTACGTAGACTAAATTGTTATATATAGGCCTATATATATATAGGCTATATATAAATTTATTGNGTTTTTTTTTATAAATCTTTATTAAATCAATTTAATTATTAATATCACAATATATAATTATCAATCTTCATTGCGTTTAATAATCAATTTTCATTAATTATTTGTTTTAAAATTAAGCGTTAAATTACTTTATTCCCATCTAATATATTATTTACATCCAATAAAATTCATAAAACTTGAGTCCTTAGACATAAAGCTTATTTTACAGAATTGCATTAAAAAAGCACTGTTTCAAACTAAAATAATTAATATTTTTAATCCCGAACAAGTAACTAATTAAATTGTACACAATATTTATTTATTTTAATTACATCTTAAAAAATTATAAATTTTTTCCTGTAAATCAATATTTCATATATTTTTATAAATAAAACAAAGTAACATAAAACATATTTGTGCAATTTAAACAAGATAATGAGGTTTTCTTCATTTCTCAAGTGAAAAATCAGTCTGTCTGTCAAAAATAAGGTTATTTTATCTGAACTTGAAACAAAGTAATTTTATAAATAGTCTTCTAAACAGATTTTACAGTTTGATTGACAGTATTGAAATACACCCAATTAATATGCTACTTAATTTAAACATGTTAAAGAATAGCAATGGAAGATAAATGCATTGTACTCTTCTCTTTCATTTGTTAATTGACTTAAAACGGTTAAAGTGGATTTTTTTCTTTTACTGATAAAAGATAAATTTAAAAAATAAATAAATAAGTATGGAATCTTCTTTTCATTAATTGTAATAAGCTTGATTGTTTGGAGAAAAATTGTCAAAGTGTGTTAATTTCAGCTACGCTTTCACATTAACCTCCGGAAACATGAACAATAATACTAACTTCATCTCGATGTTATAAATGTAACTTTAGAGAACATGGAAAGACCTGTTTGAATTACTGCCAATGACAAAATGCATCTATATATAAATGTGAAGAAAACTAACCACTGCATCAGCATTACGCTCAAAAAATAAATAAATAAATAAACCATAACGATAGAATATTATAATAATTATCTCATAAAGAAACTTTTAATATCGATTAAATTTAAATTTTCATGAAAATAATAATAATACATTACTTAACTTTTAAATTTTTATAAGAAAATAACTCAACTAACACAACCATGTTTTATATTACTATTCTAAATTTCCTATAATAAGTAACATTTCAAGAATCAGCAGTAATATCATCATTCTATACCATAATTCAATTTTATCTAATCTATTTTTAAAGCATTATTAAAACTTTCTATAGAATATATATTTACAATATGCTATAAAACTATTCATAATGCAAGAATTTAATTAATATTCTTGTATATATGTATGTATATTTATAGCTGTATATATGAACCTATATAATTACTTTATGTAAAAAAGTTTTAAATAATATATAGAAATAATTTTTTAATTAATTTCGATTATATGTTTGAATAATAACTATAATTAACTAGAGGAAAAAATATAAATTGTTCTATAAAATATGATTTTAAAAATAGTTATACAGTATTTGAATATGTAAATTAAATTTTATTTCAGGTTTTTTGGTGATAACCTTTGAATTTTATAAATTTACAATTTAATAACAGTAATTGTAATAATCTTGTATTAATTAATGAAATGATTGATATCAGCTAAATTTTTAATAAAAATTAATGCTTCATTTTTTGTTAAGTTCGCAAAGAGGTAGAAGAGGGGAAAAACTGAACGGAGATGATGTAATAGGTAATGATGTGTTCTCGTGTGTCTACGTTTTATTTCATTTAAAAATTAATTTAATATTTGCCTGACAAAAATGATTTATTTTGGTCTTATCTTTTTGAAATGAAATAAATGTTGGCCTTATTCCAGTTGAAACTTTGGATTTTTTTCTTACTCATTATTTTTTATATCGCTCTTGGAATTATTCGTGGCACTATTAAGACAATTGGCGTGAATAAATAAAGTGGATTTAAATTTAAATAGTTGGACTTTACGAGCGTGTTCTAAAAAAAATAGCTAAATTATTTTATTTATTAACATTCTCTACAACGTTTCTTTGTTTGTATATATTATTATTAATTTTAAATATATTTATATATTAATTACCTAAATTTTTATTCAAAATCGACAGTTTTAAATATTTGAATGTAATTATATTTAAAGTACAATAAAGTTTTTTATTAATTTGTGATCCTAATTTTTACATTTATTGCATGTTTTTGCAATAATCGATTAAATTTATTTTTGTGAAATTAAATTGATTTTCTATAAACGACTTACACTTTTACTACGTTCTTTGAGTCTAAATGTAGCAAAGATAAAATTCTTCTCTATATTCTAGCTACTTTTTATAATGATTAAAAGATAGAATTAAATTTGGATAATATATTTTATGTTGTCTTTAATAAATGAATGTGATATATTAAGAAATATATTCAATAGAAGCATTCATTTTCATAACATCATTTTAAGAATAAATATTTCCTACTAGGTATATGTATGTATGTATGTATTTTGCAAATCTTATATTTCTTATATACTGTATTAAATATAAATAAATAGTCTACATAAAAATATATAAGGCTATAGTTTTTCTTGATACTGCTATCTATTTTTTTTAACATTATATGATATAAATTATTTTCAAAGATTGCCTGTTTAGTGATTATAATTGCATATTTTTTCATTATTATTAGTTCAAAAATGTTATACAATTTACACGTTAAAATAATAATTCAATTTTTTTAAAACTCTCCGTAATTATAAAGAAAAATGATTTGTTACGATTTCCTTAAAATTCTGGTTTTTGTAATTTATATATAAATTTGGCATTCAATAAAATATATTTGAATAATCTAGCATAGCCTATATATATATATATAGTTAACAATAGGCCCATACGTGTATGTATATATATATTGTTAATCTTTAGAATACAATTTAACTTCTTACTGATCGAAAAACCAAAAATATAACAATGTCGTTTAACTTCTTTTCCGGTGAGATATTTGATTTTGATGATATACTGTGTATCAAGCGTGAATTGTAAGAAGTGCGACCTTCTCTTTCAAATATAAAGCACAATTTTTTTCATTTTTCTTCTCTTTCTGCATTATAGCCTTGTAAATTTAATTTACTGATCTCATTCTAGCTGTTCGAGCACTAAAGTATTGATTTTTCAATAAATTAGTAACATTTTCTTATCAATAATTTACGTCAAATCTAATGTTTTATAACTTTGAATTTGATATAATTGATTATTTACTTTGATAGCCAATAATATTTACTATTCCGCTTATAATATCGTTATATTTAAAATTATAACAAAGCACTTTAATATGCAATTTTCATAATAAAAGGCGCTAATTCGTTATTTTCCTGAATTTAATCTGTTATTCTTCTTGTTTGTTACGATTTATTCTTAACTATATTACGAAATTTCTTACATTAAGCTAAAATTTTAATGACAGTAATCTATTGTTTTATATTAAGCTACTTTTGTAAGAAAATTTAGCAAATAATTTTGCAATGTTTTTATAGCAGTGCTTTTAGAAGAATGTGTTTCATTTTAATTAGGATTTTCATTACAATTTCCTTCATATTCTTACTTAAGATATTTTAATCGTTGTTGCATAATTATATAGACATATAATCTTTCTGTACTGTTTAATAAATTTTTAAAATTTTTTTATGTTTTAAAGCGAATATAAAAATAATCTTCATACAGGATACCTAAAGTTTTTAATTATTTAATTACGAAGGTAAAAAATTCTTCTTTTTTTTTAATTTGTGTGTTGGTTAGAAACTTTGCTGGAAATTAATTTACTAACTTTACTCAAACACATAAACCGCTTAAAGATATTTCAATATATTTGACAATTTGAGGAGTTGTTAATTGTAAGTTCTTGTAATTTTATTATTATTATTATTTTTTAATTTATTCGATTTCTTTTCAACAACTTTGTTTTTATTTTTATCTGAATCATCCTCAAATTCAGAATTATTATTTCATTAAAACAGATAAATCTGAAAATAAATAGAAAATTTTTCAACAAGTTTAATTTAATCCTGACAGAAGAATCAATTGTAAAATAGTAAGAAAAATACTAAAATTGCAAATTTTCCATCAGTTTTATTAAAAAATTTTTATAGTTTGATGATAATTTACATCATTTTTAGATTGTTTTAATAAATGTTTATTTTTTATTTTAACATTACGAATTGTTATGAGTTCATCATATCAAGTATGGTAGACGATTTCTTCCGGATTTATTTCTTTATTATTAACTAATGATTGTTTAACTTTTATTTTTTAGTGCTAATNTCTTCTAAACATTCAGTTTGTGCGTCGTTCTCCATTATTTGGTCTTTATGATCTTCTTTGGCTTGACGGCATTTTTTTTCAAGTTCTTCTACTTTATCTTCTAATAGTAAATATTCTTGCACAAGATCACTCTTAGATAATCCGTTCAATCTTTCTGTATGAACATTTTCGTAAGCTTCTGCAAATTGTTTTTGCATATATCCTTCGTTTCTCAAACATTCACTGGGAGTGTCATTCAACACATCGTCGTCTTCGAAATAATTGGGCTCTTCTTGGTTATGATCGGCCATCAGAAATTGCTTAACATTACGAATTGTTATGAGTTCATCATATCAAGTATGGTAGACGATTTCTTCCGGATTTATTTCTTTATTATTAACTAATGATTGTTTAACTTTTATTTTTTAGTGCTAATAATTTTAATAATAAATTTAACAATATTTTGTTCTAATCGTACAAGATTATAATTTATTTTCTCATTTAATGTGCTTTTGTATCGTCTATTTCGACGCCATGTTTTGTTCATATTTGTCAAGAAACTCCGTAATATAATTTACAGGACAGAACATATCTTTAGTTTTATTTCTTATTCTTTATTCTTTTCGTAGGAATTTTTCAATGGAATCTTATATCACGTAAATGTTTTATCAAATTCATAAAACTGTAAATATAACATACCAAAAACTAGGTTTTAGTATTGTAGCCTATTTTAAATGTAAGAAGCCATGAAACTGTTACCAGTGCACATTTAAATAAAAGAATGATGACTAATTTACAGATTAAAATGATTTGCTTTAATATATTTTATAATATATATAATTTTAAATATCTGTTTTTCTTAAATACAAAATTGAAAACTTCTNTTTGTTCTAATTATTTTCTTATTTCCGTACAAGATTATAATTTATTTTCTCATTTAATGGGCTTTTGTATCGTCTATTTCGACGCCATGTTTTGTTCATATTTGTCAAGAAACTCCGTAATATAATTTACAGGACAGAACATATCTTTAGTTTTATTTCTTATTCTTTATTCTTTTCGTAGGAATTTTTCAGTGGAATCTTATATCACGTAAATGTTTTATCAAATTCATAAAACTGTAAATATAACATATCAAAAACTAGGTTTTAGTATTGTAGCCTATTTTAAGTGTAAGAAGCCATGAAACTGTTACCAGTGCACATTTAAATAAAAGAATGATGACTAATTTACAGATTAAAATGATTTGCTTTAATATATTTTATAATATATATAATTTTAAATATCTGTTTTTCTTAAATACAAAATTGAAAACTTCTTATTGTCTCATTAATTTTATAACAAAAGTTAAGACATTATTAAACATACAAAATATTATTTTGTATGTTAATAGTAATGTCAAGGTAAGGCCCTATGTAGAATTTTTAAAAAGTTTGAGTTTTAATACAGCATGTTATTTTTTTCTTAAGGTAATTTATTAATTTTCACAATACAGGTGTATAGAGTAATACGATACAGTAGACTAAGGACAAACTAAAAAATACGTAATAGTTATACACAATATAAGTTACTGTTAAGTTTGAATTTTATCCATTTTTTAATTATTTCTAAATGGGATGGATTAAACCACCCAAAAATCCCATGTACATACATGGTCGCGATGTTAACTGAATAGAAAATTTGTTCCGTATTTATTACGTTAGCGTTACAAAAAATTATACCTTAATGGTATTCATTTGGCACAATAAATTTATAAACGCGAATTCTTAAATTATTTAGCATTTGATAGACTTGTAATGTGATAGTTTAAAAAATCAACATAGTTATGTTTTGAAAAACATATCTTTATTATCATTATTATTTTTACTTTCCAAGCTGTTATAAGAAGAAAGCACGGCGATCCTGTAAAAATGATCCCCCAGATTTTTACATTTTTGGACTTGGGATACCTTGAACTGTCGAGAAATGCAAAAAAATTCGGGGAGTAATTTCTGAATGTATGGATGTTTGTGTGTGAGGCACAATTTTGTTCACCCTCTTTGAAGCTTAATAACTCCTGTGCTTTTTGACAAAAATTTCTGAAATCTTGCAGTGAGGTTTATTTATTAGAGGGATTGATGCTGTTAAATTTTAATGGTTAAATTTTGAGGGGGTGGGGAAATAATGGAGGTCATGTGTATCTCCAGTAGAGTCGGACTTAATGATGATTTTACTCGTTATTTGCATTTGCATTTTTTTATATAAAACTCATCCCTGCCCTCAAAATTATGCTTTTTGCGGTTTTATAATAGTTTAAAATATAAAAAGTTTTTAAAATAAAAGATGATAACAGATGGTGCCACCAAAATTTTAAATGTTGCCGGGAAAGTTGAGAAACCCGTTGGTGGTTTATTAATATCAGGAACACATAAGTTATATATAGCCTTATATGTTACTTATATTAAAAATGTTACTGCGTACATATATATACAGTAAATCCTCGTTAATTCGAACTCGGATAGTTAGAAATCCGAGTAACGAGGATTTCCATTAGTTCGTAACTGTACTATTTGTCCCAGCTGAGAATATAGAGATTTACATGTTAAGAAATTCGGTTAATTCGAAATACGGCTACTTCGAAATTTAAAGTGAAGATTCTGTCCGAACTGTGATATTCACATGTTAACTCGTTCGTTTAGATCGAAGTGGCTCCATGCTACAAGAGAACAATAGACCAAGAACAACCCACTCTAATCTGGTCAATATGGCTTTGCCTTTACAGTAACACATTCTCGGGTATCACCTTACCCATGGACTCCTTTTTTTTCTTATATCATAAAATACAGTTGGTTATCATGATTGAAGATTGGGCTACAAGTAGCAGATCGAGATATTTGTAGGTCTCAACTACATTTGCACGACTTACTTCTTTTTGGGCCACTTTAAAAATAATTTGGACTTCATTTCGAGGAATTCTGCTATACTTTTTATAAAAGCTATATGGCAATCTGTGAGGTTCTCACCGGACACTGTTTACCTTCACATTTATATTATTATTATTATTAATTAAAGAAAATAGCATTCTGTATACGTAGCCGTATTTCAATTGCTTAATAAATTATATAAGTTACGTGGCATTTGGCATATTGTAGATATATGTAAATCTCTGATAATTCGAAGTCGCGATTATTTCGTCCCCTGGATTTCGAACTAACAAGGACAGTAGCGTAGCGTGGGTGTCAGCCGCCCAGGGCGGAGGAAAATTTCGCCGCCCCCTTATTTAGGTATCTCAATTTAAAAGACTAAAATTCAGTTTTGTCACAGAATAAGTAATGAAAAATTCCGTGCTCATTTCAATCGGTTCGAATCGTAGGTGCGACAAAAATATGAAATGAAATGGTTCAAATTTTTACAAGATATTATTATTATTTATTGTGAAATTTTGAAGCCCCCTAAAAGTGCCCCCCCGGGGCGGGCCACCCCTGCCGCCCCCACTACGCTATGCCACTGAACAAGGATTTACTGTATACACATAGGGCCGTCCGAGGGTAACGGGGATTTGGGGCGATATACATATTGGGATCCTTATAGCAAATTACAATTTATAAGTATAATGAACTAATTCTAAGACAAAAATTGTTCAAACAGGTTAAAATTTTTATAAAATTTAAAATTTAGTTTGTAAATATTTTATATTCATTAAAAATTATTGAATATTTCATTCAGTATTTTATTTACTAAAATCCAGTTTTATTAATCTTCCTATTTATGTGCTAAATGTATTTAAAAAATAATGGAAATGAGCCGAAAAATCAAAGCGTGTTAGAATATTTTTTCAAAATTCTTAACGTGAACCTTTTAAATTTTCTTATAAGGCTCAAGGTAATAATAATTATTATTCCGCAATTACCCTATTCTTCTGATGTAGCTCCTAATAATATTTTTCATGGCCCAAAGTTAAAAGAAAAATTTTAAAAGGGAAAATTTTCATCTTGTATGAGTCAATAGAACTGATACAAGATGAAAAGAAAATTTGCGATCCTTGAAACTGATGTTTCTAAATATTTTCTGAGTTTAAAAAATCGCTAGCAAGTAGATTGATACTGAGTACGACTATTTTGAAAGATGTTAATTTTTCAAAACTTAATGTTTTTATATCTTAACATATTTTGATTTTTTAACCCATTCCTGAAAATTCTCGAACACATCTTCTAATACTTTTTATTTACATTGAGAAAAATGTTTTGTTTTATTTTAAACTCGTTTTAGCACTATTTTTTCAAAGTTACCTACTTACAGATTAACCATTTAAAAAGAAAAATACGTTATAGGGGAAGGTGGGGCAAGATGAGAACGTTAAGGTTTGAAAAGTCATAAGATGGCAACCATTTTATTAATAACAATAATTTTTTTTATTCTCAGCAACTACATGTGGTAATATATAATACAAAATTTAATTTTGAAAAACGTTTTTAAAAACAAGAAAATTTAATATTTTAAAATTATATGTAAATGCACCATCTTGCCCCACCCATGGGGTAAGATGGGGATATTATTTTTATATACAAGAAGGACAAATTAAAATGGTTAAACTGTCGTTTTCTTCAATATTGGCGCAAGAACAGTGTGCCCATTTATCACAACGGCTACATTTAGCACAACTCTGTAGATACAGAGTATAATCCTCCACAATAGAGGCATTCTGTGTCATTTGTCTTTTGTTTCTAGTTAGGCCCATCCTTGCTGAAGGGGCCTGTTTGTCGTCTCTGCAGCAATAAATCTGTTTCCGAAAATACTTCTGGATTCATAGGCCATATTCATGGTCAACCTGGAGCTAGACGAGTACCCATCTTGCCCCCAACGTACACTTTTCATACTGACTGCAAACACAGGTAAACTTCATTTCAAAACTAAACAATTACAGTCTTAAAGGTTACTTCGAATACCATAATATCTTCATGTAAAAGATAATGTAAAAGTTCACAATGATACTTTGTAAAAACTTTTTAGTATGCGTAAAATTAGATGAAGTACTGCTGAAACATGAAAAACGTACATTACTTCCAAAGAAAGAGTGCGATTTGGACGTTCTCTCGCTCCATGATCCCTTTCGAGATAGACATTTAGTTCCCTAAATAACAGCTAGATAAAAGCACATTAACCACAAATAAACAGACGTCCCCGTCTTACCCCATGGCCCCATCTTGCACCACCTTCCCCTACTTATACACTAAGAAATTTTTAAGAATTGATTTTATGTGTAAAGCTAAAATGTTATCCAATGATTATGCTTTTAAAATTAAATTAAAAATTACAGTAATACCTCGACTTACGCGAACCCGGAGTTACGCGATTTTCAAATTTCGTCGAATCGTCTTTTGTTTGAGCGCCAGGCAACAGTTGATTACTCACTCCCTCACACTATTGTTCAGCTTACATGTTCGAACGTGTCGCACGGAATCGACGCATAGCTACAATTTATTTTGTGTTATTTCTACTATTTCTATTTCTACTCCCTTGGTTTATATGGAGACTATAGCCTGATACGCTTTTTCTCCGAGAGACGAGAGTTAATGATCGCTATGCGACCGAAGAGCCGGCCGTATCTAACGGCTTATACGCACGCGCGGGAAATAATGCCTTCCGGGAGGACTTTTAAGGGGAACTGGCCTCTTATTCAGTCGTTATTGGCAAGGAGAAAACCCGGAAAACTCCTTGCAGCCAGCCTGTCCGATCGCGGCGCGAACCCACGACCGAACTTCCCAGTGTTTAGGGTCTGGTATTTTGTGTTATTTATTTCTGTGTATTTTATATCTACGGAGACTTGAGAGACTCTATGTGGTGATTTCTTGTAACCGTGAATAAATCAAAAGACGAGATAAGATTAACGAGAACATTTATTAGCTTACATACCTCCAACTTGGATTTTACACAAATTGCGAAATTATACCCCGACTTACGCGAATTCGACTTACGCGGTTATCGCTCGGTCCCACCTATCGCGTAAGTTCGGGGTATCACTGTATTTTTATATTTAAATGCATGACTGATAGAAACATCTTAAAATCTTTCAACTTAAATAGGCTACATCTGTTTCAATAATCTGTTCTTTGGATTTTTTTGCAATTAATTCGAAGCCAGTGTGAGCTTAATTGAAGAATTTAAAGTCTGTATTTTATTATATTATAATAATATTCTATAGTCTTTTGGTAAAAGATTAATTAAATTAATCGTTAATATAGAATACAGTTCATTATCAGATGTTAAGAGAATTGCTAATATTTTATGTCATTTCCTTGAACTTGTTATATATCTTTTCTGGATTTCCCCATTTAAAACCAATTTGAAAACGCTAAAATAAAAGCAAATAGGTCTAATGCCAACTAGCAATCGCGCTCTGCTGTCCTGATAAATATGGATTCAATTAATTGTTTCTCGTGACAATTTGATTTGGGTATAGTTTCTCGTTTTATTTACATTAAAATTGCATTCTGAATCAGTATCTTCTATAATAAGCAAAATTTAAAGCCAATTTTATCCGTCAATGCATGCTGTGTTTAGAGTAACGAATTCGAAAAAGAAAGCGATCTTCCATAGAGATAAAATTTTATAATCATATTGTTTAGAACATAGAAAATGCGAAAATGATGTAAGTTAATTTTTATAGTATTAATAAAATGCCAGGTGTATTATGGACTATAAAACTAATTTCGGTTTTGCATCATTATGAATGATCTTTTCAAAAGGAGATCATCGAGGCCAGATGCTTGTCATCCCACCACTGTCGAGAACCCAGAAACGAAAAACTCTAGGAAATTTTCGGGGGTAATCTTTACAGAATATGTCGGCTCCCGTTGCCTTATCGAATTTTCGCAGGCCCAAACCCAGGATGGCCTTGATTTTAAAAAGCCCTCTTAGTGCCTATTGGACGTAAGAAAATAAAGGCATTAATGATGTGAAGTAACGTTCCAGCCAAAATTGTTTTTGAAATAATGTAAGTTATAAGAATGAAAGATTTAATTTTAAAAAATCATAAGGTAACGAACAACCCAAAGAAGTTGCTATTTCACAATTACTGATTAATTTTTGTTTAATTTAAAAAGTTTAAAATTAGTTTTATTAATTTTTCGAACCATTTTTTTTTCTATTGCTACATTTCAACATATAAAAAATGTTATTGCTAAACTTTATATTTTTGGTTTTCAGATAAATTGCATAAGTTGTTTCCAGAAATTCTAAAAAAAGGGGTCTTTACCCATGTTAAAACATTTTAAGTTAACTTTTAATCTGTAAAAATGTTAAAGTATCAACTTTCATGCCATTTTTACCTGTTTAAATCTAAAAATTCTGACAGTATCGTCAATGAAATATTGTTACTACATTACTATGATTGATTTACTATTGAAATAAATTCTACTTGAATTGTGTTTAAAATGATTATATACCTATATATTTTTCCAGTAGTTACGATAGTTTCATAATTCCAATCCATAATTTTATTTTTTTATTCAAATCTAAAAATACCTCTAATGACTCACACAAAACAGGAAGTAACTATTCTTTAATACTATATCTGACACTTTGGGAATCTACACACATGAAAAGAAACATCAGCATTATTTTAAAAATATTTTATTTTCACTTTCAAAAACTCAATAAATAAATTTAACAATAAAAATTTATTTTAAATGACTTAAATAATTTAAAAGATAGAAAATAAACTTCTGAAATGTGATCAAGAAAAAAAATTTCGAAAATAATGTAACATGTTTACAGATTGATTATGATGACAAAATGATTTTCTTTGTACTTTATATATAATCTACATCCTTCTTTCGTATTCTACATCTTACGGGTTACTAAAACAGATATTCAAATGAACTGTTAATCAATCGCTGATTGTATTATCATAAATCGCATCAGTCAGTTCTTCGTTTTCTGTGCGTAAACGATTATTTTCTCTCTTCAACTTTTCAATTTCTTCCCTAAAGACGACTACTTTTTGCCAATAATCATCGTTTTTCTCTTCTAAACATTCAGTTTGTGCGTCGTTCTCCATTATTTGGTCTTTATGATCTTCTTTGGCTTGACGGCATTTTTTTTCAAGTTCTTCTACTTTATCTTCTAATAGTAAATATTCTTGCACAAGATCACTCTTAGATAATCCGTTCAATCTTTCTGTATGAACATTTTCGTAAGCTTCTGCAAATTGTTTTTGCATATATCCTTCGTTTCTCAAACATTCACTGGGAGTGTCATTCAACACATCGTCGTCTTCGAAATAATTGGGCTCTTCTTGGTTATGATCGGCCATCAGAAATTGCGTTGTGTTGTAAGGTGCTATGGCTTGTCCATTTGCAAACATTTTTTCTCTCACACGATTCGCACGTTTAGTCTCATTCTTATCGGCTTTTCTTTTTTCTTTCCACGACATTTTATGATATGGTTTCCATTTACGTTTTTTCTTATGACGGTCTTTTTTCGATTTTAATTGTTCACTCTTGTTCGTATTCTGATCACCAGATGGCAATACTGACACATCGATATTCTTCGTCGAGTCTTCTATATCCATGATTACAAACAGATTCTGATTCGAATGAACGTAAATAACATAAAAGTATGAACTTACAAACTTAAAAAACTGATTTGTCTTCGGACAGGCACAAAAACACAACCGCACTCTCCCATCTCCGACGTTCGTTTAACGATTCAACTTGACGCAGATCATTGTATCTCTATTGGAAAATAGTTCCTGATCAAAAACGGCTAAATTCCGACATAATACTTATATATTTCCAAACTTAAATTCCCCAGAACGTCAAAGAAATAAATTTTCAAAGTTCTCAAGTAATCTGAAGACAAACCTTTCTATTTATAGATTTTGTAGGCGTAGTGATATTCGAATGTAAATAGTTCCGGTGGTTATGAGACCTCTGGTGAACGAAACTGAAACGTTACCTAATAATTATTACTTCAAAGATTGAATTTTGTAATGTAATATTGATATGACGTAATTATATTGAAATTTTATTTTGTAAGATTTCTTGTATACGTATATATTTTGCTTAGTATATTATTAAAAAGGATATGAATAATTTCTTATTTTATTAATATAAATATAAATATATATATTTAAAACAGGTATATATAAATATATATATATATATATTCTTTTTTTATATAAGAATATCTTCAAAATGTTCAAAATGAATGCAAAAACATTCCTTCATGCTTAAAGCATGCAGTACAAGGTGGCTTGGTCGACCTACGATCATCGTCAGCCTCCATAGGACTAGTGCTCATTGGAATCTGATGCCATTTTCACCATCCTTTTCAATCCCTCTCTATCTAGGGCACAGGATTTGGTTTTATTCGATTATGGCAACGCGACACATGGGCGATCTGCCGAGGGGGGATACCTCCCGGGAGGTCTTTCATGAGAAATTGGCCCCTATTTAGATGTTGATAACGTGAAGAAAACCCGGAAAACTCCACGTGGCCAGCCCGTTGGCGAGGCGCGATCAACTGGTTTCCAGTTAATCGCGGGATCGTGCCTCGTCGACGAGCTGGCATAGGACTGAATCAGCTCCTGAATATTATTCTTGCACCATTCTTTTACATCATTCTTTCTATTCATTCCTTACGTGGCTTTTATTTCTCCCCATTCGTGATTCTAAGTGTTATAGTTTTAATTGCTCTCTTCTCATTCATTCTACAGATATGACCAAAGAGGCCGAGTTTTCTGATGACTCGTTGGAATAGAGTTTTCGCTGGTTGAATTCTTTTATGGACTTCGTCATTTGTGACTATGCCAATCTAATTTGAGTAGTTTCCTATAGCATTTTCTTTCAAAGATATCTAGTCGTCTTCTGGCTTCCTTGTGTAAAACCCATGCATCACAGCCATACAGTATGCCGCTAAAGATGTACGTGTCCAAAACTTTTAATTTTGTTTTTATTGTGATGTTTTGACTTTTCCAAACTTTGGCTTTGAGATTCGCAGATCCTTTGGCTACTTAGTTTTATTTCTTCAAGATAGTCTAGATTTTCAGTCAGCTTTCCCCACACATATGTAAATTCTATAGCCTTTTCACAGTGGCGTACCGTGGGTGTCAGCCGCCCGGGGCGGAGGAAAATTTCGCCGCCCCCTTATTTAGTATCTCAATTTAAAAGACTAAAATTCAGTTTCGTCACAGAATAAATAATGAAAAATTCCGTGCTCATTTCAATCGGTCTGAATCGTAGGTGCGACAAACATATGAAATGAAATGGTTCAAATTTTTACAAGATATTATTATTACTTATTGTGAAATTTTGCCGCCCACTAAAAGTGCCGCCCCCACTACGCTACGCTACTGTCTTTTCAATTCTTGTTCCATTTATGTTAATCCCTTTGTCTTGATTTGGTCTTCCAGATACTATCATCTTGGGGACATATTCTGGTCACCGTCTCTGGTCTCTCGTCTTTCACAAGCTGGTCAATGATTGGCTAATCCAAATGATTAGCCAATCATTGACCAGCTTGTGAGAGACGAGAGACAGTGATCAGAATACGGCCCCAGAATACGACCCTTGGTCTTTACTAATTCATATACAGTCCATATCTCATGCATTCTACATTTAAAGTGTTAATGGATATACAGTAATACGCGATAGGTGGGACCGAGCGATAACCGCGTAAGTCGAATTCGCTAAGTCGGGGTATAATTTCGCAATTTGTGTAAAATCCAAGTGGGATGTATGTAAGCTAATAAATATTCTCGTTAATCTTATCTCGTCTTTTGATTCGTTCACGGTTACAAGAAATCACCACATAGAGTCTCTCGAGTCTCCGTAGATATAACAAACACAGAAATAAATAACACAAAATAAATTGTAGCTATATGTCGATTCCGCGCGACACGTTCGAACATGTAAGCTGAACAATAGTGTGGGGAGTGAGTAATCAACTGTTGCGTGGCGCTCAAACAAAAGACGAATCGACGAGATTTGAAAATCGCGTAAGTCGAGGTATTACTGTACTTACAGAAATGATTGTCTCTCTTCTATAAATCTAATTTGGTAGAAAACGAGCATTTGTTTCTCTTCTGTAACATGCCAGTTACAAATCACATTCTTTAGCTGCCCATCATCTTTGAATGAAGCTGAACGAAATTGTGGATGATATATTTGTCATTCACAAAATCGGCATACTGATACTCAACTTTCAATCGCTGCTCGTATCTGCATTGATCTGCAGATTTTCTCTGCTTTGCTGGAATTTTCTTAAAATAATCTGGCAAATCGAAAAATATAGTTGGAATTGCATTTTCCCTTAACTTTGAAATCTTCCTTTTCAAGTTCCATTATACTTCCATCAGAGTTCTTAGACACGTCCTTCTGCGGATGTCAGAAGGTAAAAATGCTCCAGAAACTACGCTTCGATTAGTTGGAGTCCATTTATCCCTTGGAATATTTCGTATCCAACGTTGGCGTAATATAGGATCTTTACGAAATTTAAAAACACTTAAATAACCAGTTGATGTAGATTCGTAATTTTCTTCGCATTTAGATATGCAACACTTTTTAGTATTTTACAATTCCGTTGGTTGGCCTGTTGTAGTTAGCAGTAACATTACCAACACTATTTACTTCTTCGCAAATTAGGCCTAATCTCCAATACTTACCTTTTCCTCGAGGAGTAATATTTAAATCTATCCTCCCTTCTATTATTATTTTTTTTCGACTCCATTTTTTCAACGCCTATATCTTGAAAGAAGTAAAATGTCGCCTTCTTTTTTTCTCTTTCATTTCATCACCGAAACTCACGTTGAAGACAACTTGCGCCATTTGAAAGTTTCCGGACTATATTTCTATTGGACGAAACAGAATATTGTCGAAATCAGATAGCCTAACTGATATTTTGTCGTAAATAGTAAATTCAGTTACGATGAGCTTCGTAAATTGCAGATAAGTAAATGTCGTAAATTAAGTATTTAACTATGTCGCGAGAATACGATGTTGTAATTAATATAGTTCGGGAATGTTCAGCAGTTGTAATTAATGACACTTTCAAGTATCCAGACCAATGCTTGCACCGACTTTCTTTTCCGTTTATTATTATAACTACCCAATGAAAGTACAACAGAACATCGTATTCTCCCAGCGCACACTATTCGGTAGTAATATTTTGGACCAAACTAACAATTTTTGTAAAAAAAAAAAAAAACTGTTTCTATTGCTTTCAGTTTGGCCAACCACGATAACTATCATATGCCTCTACAGCAGCGTTTCTCAAAGTGGGCGATAACGCCCCCTTGTGGGCGCTGGAGGCTTTCAGGAGGGCAGTAGAAGGCTCAAAGAGAACTGGGGGGCGTTAAGAAAATATAGAGGGGCGACGGCAGACAAATTCTATATATAAAAATTCGACAAAAATATATAAAATGTTGACATTTTATATATTTTTTATTTTTTATTGAAGGTCACAACTTGAATATTTCTAACACATTTACTTTTATTTTAGCTCAGCGTTTCTCAAAGTAAGCAATAACGCCCCCTTCTGGGCGATAAATAGATTTGGGCGGCGCTAGAGGCAGGGTATTGAACGGTGACCAAAGGCAAAATTGGGGCTGATATAAGGGAACATTGCGTTTAATGGTTTCCAGATGATGAGAACAATGTACAGTAACGGCACAAAGTGTGAGATTAATAAAAAAGTTTTCCTAAGAATATTTCCAATCCTTTTCTCACAAAAGAGAAAATGGGTTAGGGGGCGTTGGGTATAACTTTATGGAACAAAGGGGGCGATGGATCGAAAAAGTTTGAGAATCACTGCTCTACAGCATAGCATTTTATCTGGCATCGGCACAAAGGAGCTTTTTCTCGATATTCGTCGTGGGTTTGACCAGGCCCATAATAAGGGCGGCCGCCATGTGAGGGACAGAGTCCGACATATTCAGGATAGACTACCCATGAAAACTCCATTAGTTGCTAGCCCAGATTCTATCTAGAGCCCTCAGAGCAGTAGACTGATGCCTTAGCCGCTTTGTCCATCTGTCGAATCCTTTTAATATGAAGGACGTGCATATACCAAATATTTTGCCAGAATATTTTAGAGGCACTTTGTATTTTTAAATTTATGCAAATAAAAATTGTTTTGCATAAATTTGCATAAATGCACGGTCTTCGTACCCTGAACACTGGGAGTTCGGTCGTGGATTCACGCCTCGCTCGGACGGGCTGGCCACGTGGAGTTTTCCGGGTTTTCTCCACGTCAGTAATGCCTAAATAGGGGCCAGTTTCCCTTAAAAGACCTCCCGGAAGGCATTCTCTAGACCAGTGGTTCCCAACCTTTTTTCATTAGCGTACCCCGTGACATGTCATATCTCTAGATTGTACCCCATGACATGTCATATCTCTAGATTGTACCCCTCATTTAAGAAATTTAGTGAGTAAGCGTTATTGTTAATTTTACATATTGTAACTTTAAATTAAAGAAAAAAAACCTAAAAGAAAAAATGTATAATAAAGTTGTGATTGTTGCAAGGAACATTTTTTATCTAATAATTTTTTAATACTATTAGTTTGTGATACATAATATATTATTTTTTCTGCCATAATAACTAACTATTTCCTGTACCCCTAAACAACCTATCGCGTACCCCTAGGGGTACGCGTACCACAGGTTGGGAATCGCTGCTCTAGACCAATGTTTCTCAACCTGTAACGAACCATCGCCCCCTTCAATAAAACCGTTATGTAGTATCGCCCCTTCACTTCAAAATTCCGAGGCCGAGGGCCAAGGCTAATGCCAAATTCGTACTGCATTGAATAGACTAGTGACTAGTATAATGTTATTTGTTTAATTATTGTACGATATAACGAATAAAATATCTAATTATTCTTAATGTTTTACTATATCGCCAAGAAAATTGTTTTTCGCACCCAAAATATAAATTGTCACTAATCGCCCCCTCAACATGGAAAATCGCCCACATGGGGGCGATATCGCCCCCGTTGAGAAACACAGATCGCCCAAGTGTTATGTTGCCATATCTAAACAAACAAACTGAACACTGATCGCGGGTTCGCATCTGACCAACGGGCTAACTATGTGGAGTTTTCCGGATTTTCTTCACGTGTCTAATTCCTAAATACGGACCATTTCCTAAAGAAAGTCCTCCTGTGGCATATCGCCGAATTCTTGTGTTGTCTACAGCCCGATTGACACCACGCATAAGCAGCTAACATCCTATCTCTCGCGCGCGAACCCGCGTTGCCGGCGGCTTGAACATTTACACTTAGTGAACTTGAGAGGATTTGAACTTCTCCGTCCGTTCACTATTCGAAAGTAACCCAAAAGCTTGCAAGCATTAGCATTTGAAAATATTATATATATATATATATAATATTTGTATATAATGTATTTATTTTAAAAAATTCTCTCTCTATATATATATNCAAAACGGGCAAAAATTTCTGGCACGGAATAGTTTATCCATAGAGTCTTCGTATAAGTTACCTGTATTAAACGACCACCTGTGTAACGCGACCGCGGGCATCGATTTTTGGTCCGAAACAACATACAACACCTGTAATAAGCGACCACTTTCGCGGATGTATCTGGTCTAAACTATTGTAAGAACCCATCTCAACAACGTTTCCACCTCATGTTTTAATTTGGTGGAGTTTTGTCACGTGTATATATGTTATGAAGTTTTTTATTTTATAAAATTAATAATGTACAGTATATACATATGCCGACAAATACTAAAGAAAGTATATATGTATTAAGACTGAAAAGAGAGTTGCTATGTCCAAATGCATATTGTGAAATAAATACATTGGATTATGCTGCAAATTAAGTGTCTCAAGGTCATTCTGTTCCGTGTTTATCTCACTTGTCAGTTTGATAAGTCTGTCTTTGAGAAAAGTGCACTAACACAATATTAATCTATCTACTTTATTTTTTTCATGTTGTTCACGGTATTCAAAAATAATCAAAATTGGGGCAAAATGATTAAATGAATTTTCTTGTCACCTTTAACAAAAAATAACGTTTAAATTAAAAAAAAAATTAAAATAACACAATTTACAATAACTATTTATAGAAATACTAGCTTGTTCCACCCGACTTCTCCCGGGATTATAAAGTATGTTACGCCCGGCATTATTAATCGTAAATTTCAAAAATGTATGTAGTTAAAATCAATGAGCTAGAGTGTCTTGACTTTTATCAGTTAGTTGGGCATGAGCTTCTAGACTATGGTAAAGTGTGACGTAATTGTCATGTAATAGTAGTTATATGCGTTTATGATGGTCTTTACGCGGGGAATAATGTCTTCCTGGAGGTCTTTTAAGGGTAACTGGCCCCTATTCAGACCTTACAGACGTGGAGTAAAACCGGATAACTTCACGTGGCCTACCCGTCCGGGCGAACCCACGATGGAGCTCCCAGTGTTCAGGCTTGGCCTATATAAAGTGACTGTGTCTTTAGATACAGCGCTCTTGGTGGCAACGACGGGTACTATCAACCGCCATTTTACTTTAAGTCAAAACATTGAAGTTTATATCACATGTTGGACAGGATTGTTACTTTAGAATCTATTTTTTGGGCTGCAATTTGAAAAAATTGTAGATCTATAAATTCCCACTGTCGTCCGTCCGTCTTTCCTTTAATCTCGAGAATGTGTTAGATAGATGAAAGCGGAAACCGGACATGGAAACCTTAGGGGCTGGTGGCCCCAATTAACTATATACGAACTTACGATGCAAATCGGAAGTCACATTATTTCAATTCAAAAATTTCCCTTGAAATGTGTTAGATTGATTACGGGTATGATTCAATTGCTAAAGGAAAAGTTTGATATATAGGGGCAAGCCACCACTAATTTGAGGTAGAGAGCATATATTTTAATATTTGGTATTTTTGAAACCGTGCCAGTAATTTTTAGTAATTCAAATTACAAAACATATATTTTAAATTTAAAAAATTAAAAATGTGATTAAAACTTGCAGCCCGGCATTGTGACCATATCTCAATGAATAATTGCTGGTCTCATCTAAATCTGGATTGTTTTGTTTGCCCCTAGATTTGAGATTTAGGCAAGTAGATAAATTATATAAATCTAGATTTTTTCATCTTGAATTTAGCTATTTTCTAGATTTTATTTAATTACTCTAAAGAAGGTAAGATCAGAGTTTAGATCAGTAAGTGTTGTACTTAACCCTCAATATAACAATATTTTTATAATCTAAATATGAGCCATGTGATTGTTTATTTATAGTGTACTCTAGTCAGTCTGATCCTTACCATCCTCAGTATTTCGTTTCATTTCCTTTCGTTGTTGATTTTTTTCAGACAGTGTTTTTTTCTCTTGCAGAATATAAGTAGTGTTCTTGTGTTTTTATTATATTGTTTGTGAAAATTTTGGTTTCAACTTGTGAAAACATTTACAATAAAAAACTACATTTTGACCTTTGTCATGTTATGAACCACAATGTTGAAGTTAAAATCATTCTAAGAGGTAATAAGGAGCTAATAATTGTAGGAAATGGAAAAAGTGTTGTATTTTCCCATCAAAAATAGACAAAGAAAACATGCCAAGTGAAAGAGACTGATATGTAGAAATGCACTGTACAAATTGTGCATGACATGCATCATTCTGGATAACAAAAGTATATTAACACAAACTAACCTCTTGTTCATTATGTTGTAGACAACAATCTTAGATACTGAAGACATGAGCCTGAAGAGGGATTTGAAAATTACCAATCTGAAATGCATTGTTAAATAGGCAAAATAAAGTGACCTGTTTTAATCTTGGTCTCTGTTAATTGCAGATAATAAAGATGTGAAATGTGTGATATCACTAGCCTCACTATTAGAAGAAACCTTTACTTATACAATGAAAACTGCTTAGGCGACCACCTGCATTCGACGGGCACCTGCCAAAACGGGCAAAAATTTCTGGCACGGAATAGTTTATCCATAGAGTCTTCGTATAAGTTACCTGTATTAAACGACCACCTGTGTAACGCGACCGCGGGCATCGATTTTTGGTCCGAAACAACATACAACACCTGTAATGTATCTGGTCTAAACTATTGTAAGAACCCATCTCAACAACGTTTCCACCTCCTAATATAATGAATTAGTCTAAACTCTGTTCGAACCCATCCCGGACACTTCTCCCACCCTCGAAATTAGGTGCAGGTGTTAATAAATTAGTCTAACAACAAAGGAAATTCATTTCAATTTGTTGGAAAGTGTCCGAAATTCAAAGTGCTATCGTTAGAAGATCGTATTAAAGTTATCACAACAGCAATTAGCGGCGAAATTTAACTATGGGAAAACAAACTTTATTTTACCCTACACCTACAGTATTTTCCTTGGGGGTATAAAATATTGTAAACGATACAATTAATCGGCTGATCTCATCGTTTGATAAAATCTATTTTTATTTATTTATTTTAAAGCTCATATACAGTACACGTGCGATAAATAGTTTCTGTATCAACCTACCTTATTTCCACGATATTTTTAGAAAAATAATATCCAAGTAATTTTCGCAGGCAAAATATTCAAAAAACAATAAACGCATTAATGCAAAAATCAGTTTTACTTCCTTTTTCGATTCCGCGATTGTAATGAAATCGTATAATGAGAAAAAATAATAAAATCGTTTTATTATTAATTAATAATTTTTCTTATTGTACTTAATTAATTAAGAAAATATTAAATATTAAAAAATACAGTATTTTTAAAGTTAAAATAAGATTAAACTAACGAAAACCAAAAGCAAAGTGATGGAGAGATAGGACGCGCTTGTATATTGATGACGTAATACACGTAACTGAGGAGCGAACGAAAAGAACCGAGTCGAATTAATTAAGTCGGAAAAAAGAAAGTGTGCATTATAATCGAGAAAATGCGACTATTGTATTAATCTTTAAAATATTGGTATTAAATTTGTCTTATAATATCATGACGATTCCTGTAAATCGGGTTATCCGATAAGAATAAAATACGATGCCAATATAGCCGTATCGTTGAAAAAATTCGCTTATTTTTGCTCACCTCGAGTTTTGCTTAGTAGAAATGGCTAAAATGTGCGCAAAATACGTACGGAAATACGGTATTATAGCACCACCTGTATTGGACGACCACCTGCCTAAAAGACCACTTTTTGAAGGAACCGTGGTGGTCGCCATAGACAGGTTTTACTGTATTTTATTTTTTGAATTAGGTCTATTATCGAATGGCAAAAAGCTTAATTTTGAGTGTAGAGACAAGTTTTATAAAAAATTGTAAATGTTTATAATGAGTAAAATCTTCATTAAGTCTAACTCCTCTTTACCTACAACATGTGACCCCCTCTTCCACATGTGATCTCCTTTCCTCTTCAATCTTTAATTAACCACCAAATATACAAGCAATCATGCCAAATTTTGTTTCTTATATATGCCAACACACACATACATGGAATACTTTTTCCCTTTTTTTGATTTCTTTGGGTTTGGAAGGTCTCAAACGTGGATATTTGCAAAAAACTCTGAGGGTCAAATTTGACATGATTCCAATGCTTTCCTTGTTATGTATACATAGCAGCCAGGAAAGTAATATTAAGAATGTTTAGAAGTGCATTTAATTTATTAATAGAGAATATTTTGTGTTGTTTAGAAATGTTTAAATACAGGGTATAGAGAGAGAGAAATGTCTTATTTACTTTCAAACTTAAAAAGAAAACTAAGTAAGGGTTAAATAATTTATCTGGCTTGTGTTGAAAATTGACTAGTTATATAAAAAGAAAAAAAAAACAATGCCAATACCTAAATCACAGAAAATATTTTAAAGATTTAAATACAATTTTTAAAAATTTTACATTGAATACATTTTGTTTAAATTTATGTTAAATAAATATATTAATCAATATTTGTTACAGGATAATAAAAAAACTACATATTTTGAATCATAGAAAAAGGAAAAATATTGTTTTATTGAAATTTTTCATATATTTTGTAATATTGTTTAAGATTACAATATTAATTTATCAACAGTACTAAGTGGTTTCACTTTAAATGTATACTGAATATTGTATACATATTGTATATTTGTGCCTTGTATATATACACTGTACATTTTTAATCTTAATTACAATATCTTTTTTAAGTTCTAATAAAAAATAGATCATGTTTTTAAATATTTACTCTTTATCGTATGGTTCTAGAGAGCAAATAACTGCCTTCATAAATGAAGCTGCAATTAATGAAGCATAAGGTTGCCAATCCTTTTGTTCTGTACCATCCTTATAATCTGCAATTCCCCTTATAAAAACATAGTTGTCTTTTCGATTTCCATGTATCGATTCAATAACGCTATCGAATTCTTTGTCATATGCTAACAGTCCATTCTGATTTGCAAATTCTAGTCTTAAGGAATCATCTCTCATTAAATGCCTTCCCGAACCTATGGCTCCAAAGTGCACGACGGGCAATCCTGCTTGTCGAGGATCGAATGAATTTTCTGGTGGGCTGGGGTGGCCAACTTCAATAACATCTTTTCCTCCGATGCACATAAATAGTTTATCACTTTCTTCGGCTGGTCTAGCAAAGTCAGCTTCTTGGTTTTTTAAATCTTTGAGACCTTCCTCACTGTAAACTTTCCATGGACAAAAACCATCATTTCCTCCAATGTATTGTTCCCACAAATTCTGTGCAACTGTTTGTAAATGCATGTGAGGTGGATTCCATGTTTTTATATTAAAGTTTTTGGTAGAAGTTAACAGATTATTTGATGCATTTTCCACTGAATTCCATGTTTTTTCACAATATAAATAAATATACTTTTTCAATAAATCCTTTGCTGGAACAGAAACTACAATATCTCCAAGTCTTACATGTTTTGAATAATCTGTATAATGAGGTACACCACCTCCCACACCAACAAGAAATATGTATTCAACTCTCTGAAAGATTCCTACAAAATATTGTGAAAATGTTAATATTTCTAATATTTCAATAAAAATAATATAACATTATAATGAATCATTTTATATAAACTGTTCACCAATTTTATATTAATATTTATAAGAACTAGATTAAAACTGTTAATATTACTTTATTTGTTATATAAATTTCTTATTGATTACTCATAATATGTGTTAAATGTATATGATTTTTGCTATAACTGAAATACAACAAATTCCAAATACTTTTATGCTCACAAAATGAATTAATGCAAACTGGAATATCTTATGCAATGAAAATAGACATTTTAATTCTGGATTGATTATACTAAAAGTTGCTTATTTTTATTTTTATGTATTTTTGAGATTTTATTAGTATTATAATTTTTTTACGTATAGCATCATAAATATTTAATTTATATAAAATTTATATAATTGTTAACATAATCTTATATACAGAAGATTATAATCACTTATAAATTCATATGGGATGTAATGATTGTTTATTACATATATTACTTGCTTTAATTAAAATTGTTTCCAATAAAAAGTTTTTACTACTTGGGATAAAAATTTTTTACTTCTTCCAATCTGGTATGAAATCTGTCACCAACTTTGATAATATAAAAAATGATAAATGAACTACAGTAGTACCTCAGGATACGAACGCCCCAGCATACGAAATTTTCAGGATACGACCTGAAATTCGAACATATTTTTGCTCCACGATACGAACAAAAACTCACCATACGAATTACATTAGTTTACAGCGCCATTTTTTATTCACTTCTGTTTATTGGTCTCAGTTCACGTGTTTGCTTCGTCGTGGAAGGGTCTCGCTCAATAAAGGAAATCTTGAGGTATTATCAGAAAGTGACCGATTTTATTGAAAAGAAACATCCTGAAAAGGTTCACACTGGCCGTATTGCTGCTCAGAGTAATGACATTTGCCTAAGTCATTTTAGAAACATTTTAAAAAGTAGGCAAAGCCAAACCTCTTTGGATAGATATTTTACCAAGTGACCTCTATCCAGTGAAAGTGCTGGTAGAAATGAAGGAAAGAAAGCAGTGAATAAAAATCTTCTCCCTCTCCTCCGCCACCAGTTTACACCTCCACCGTCGTCTATCCTCAAAGGTAAAGTGCAAATAAAACTACATTTTTTTTTATCAATTATTATTCTATTATGGTTATTTATACATTTACAACTACAAAATGCATTTTTCAGTGTTTTCCTTACTAAAGTTTTTTTTTTTTTTAAATGTACTACTTAGCTTTAATTTGAGTGTGTTTTTCATGTTGGAACGAATTATTTGGTTTTACATGTAATTGTATGGGGAAAAATGATTCACCTTACGACATTTTCATGATACAATCTCAGTTTCAGAACGGATTAATTTTGTATCCTGCGGTACCACTGTATTGTATCTTTTTTATGGAAGATTTCAGAGTTCTAGAACTCTGTATTTCAATGATACTTCTGTTGCTTCTATGTAGCACATTATTACTTTTAAACAGTATTCTATAAACTCCATATTTTTCTGTTAACTAATCTTAATCATTAGTGCACAAAGTACATAATAAAATGTTTTGCATTACTGTATAATTTGTTATAATATAAAACATTTTATATATACTTTATTTCGTCAATTCTAAGATGTATTTTTTTAACCCATTTTTCTTCTCAAAAATAGAGATGCTTATTAATAAGGGCCAGAAATAGACACACGAAAATGCCAGATATATGCTAAAATTTGTAGGTCCTTTACTTCTGTCTGTGAACAATTCTTACTAAATCTATTATGTACAGTACTATATACATATTAAGTGGAAGGAGTTAAAAGAATGCAAGTTAGACAGTTCAAATTTAAAACAATTGAATTTTGTATGCTCATCTTGTATGGATGTAAAGTGATATTTCTTACCTAAACTGTACATGCTCAAAAAGAGATTCACTATACTGTACAAATATCAGAAATAGACTATGCATCATTTGAAAAAATAGCACTTGCAATCACAAAAGCAAGCTATAAAGTTTATAAAGCATTTATTTAGTACAAAAATAATCAAATCTGCAAAATATGCATTATCAGACAGTCTTAATCTGATTCATTTGCATTCAAATTGTGTTTGTGGTTGACTACACCTATATATAACACTATATACGTGATTCTGAGTTCCATTAGTAAACACAGATTGTGTCAACTGTGCCATAAAAATTTTATGGCACAGCTTTATGGCACAGTTGTAGTCTAACCGCAAAATACCGTATGACAATTTGTTTATAATTAGCGATATGGCATTCATGAAAATTGGCACGAGTGGAGTGAGTGGACCAAACTTACATTTATGCCATAATCACCTACTTCTTTCTAGACTGCATATTGTAATATCAAAACACTTACTAAAACACCTTTTCTTGCAGCCGACTCTTTATTATAACGACTTTCAAACGTTTTCGATCTTATTAAAAGACCTTTCTCAAGAAAATAAAAGTCGTTTGAAAGTCGTTATAATAAAGAGTCGGCTGCAAGAAAAGGTGTTTTAGTAAGTGTTTTGATATAATCACCTACATTATAAACTAATTACGTAATATACTGTTCTGTCAGGGTTTCAACATTATAGCTTTTAACAAGCATTTAAGGAAAAATGCATGTTCATACATATCCTGCCCTTATGAAAACAAATTTATTATCTAAAATAATAATCAAAAGTTATTGTGAGAAGACCATATAATATGTTTTCTGCTATACTGCTCAAAAATCACATCAGTTCAAATGAAATTTGTTGATAGTGAATGTTTAATTTAAACTCCCTTTTAATATGTAAAATGAGCATTTCAAGATGTTATGGTGCAGCATTAAAAGAAAAGTTATTACATATACAGAAGAGAATGGAAACAGATCTATTAAATATTACCTGTTTCACAACATTTGTATAAGTTGTTATCCAAGCTTGAATTATACATTAGTAATCAAATAATAAAGTTGAACTATTGGGCCAAGTTATAGCTTGATAAAATGGCTTTCTCATTTCACTTTCCCTTCATTAAAAAAAACTTAAAATTCAATTCCAAACTACTGTGTCTTAAATCAAGGCAATATGATATATATATATATCATATTGCCTTGATTTAATTTTGATACTTTAATTATGATCATCCTGTATTACATATATATAGACACATGAGGTACAGTACATATGTACAGGATGATCTTAATTAAAGTATCCCTATTCAGAAACATTTAGAGACATCTATTGGACATAATTAGACCAAACTCAGTAGTAATACTACAAGTATATAGGGCATGCAGAAAGGATCCTTTTGAAAAAAATTTAGTTACAAAAGAAACCACCAGGGGTCAATGTGGTGCTGTGAGATGAATAAAACTATGATGTGTACTTTGAAGAAGATTGCCATATGAGTAAACTGGCATTTATGCATGCTGGCTTAAAGTTTTTGCCTTGAGAAAATGAATTCAAGGAAACTGGGCATGGGAAAAACACTATTATATGAAAGGTTTGAGATTTAACATTATTTTTATGTTAAACGTCAAACAAGCTATGTATGGTACATTAGTAACATTAGTGATGCAACAGAGATTCCTCAATGTGTTCTCCATTTATTGTGTATTAGAACTTTCAAATGGTGAACAGCAGTGTCATGCCGTCATTGGAAGCACTTCCAATGTATTTTCTAAATAAATACATATTGTGCAATTATTTTCATATTTTAACGTATTTTGATTAATTAAAATTAATATTTTATTATAACTGCATTATGCATCTTATTACAAATTTCTATACTACATGTGAGAAAAACGATAAGATTGCTATTGTATATTCCAATATAAATTCATATATGCATATTCCCAATGGAATCTCTGTATTGTCAAATATAGGACAGCTTCCAGAACAAAAATATTTTAACGGTGTAAAGCAACCAGATTATAGGCATTTGCGCATGCTCTTTACAGAGCACCAATCTCAGGCAGTTTAGCTGGTGGAAGCTACACACCAAAATGCTTCCAATGATTCTATCCAGGACCGGTTCTGGGCTGTTAGCTGCCTGCCTGCTAGATGTTTCGCTGCTCTCACCCCATTATGTGAATCGCGAGTACATTTATAACTTAATCCAACCGATAGGAATTTACTGGTATGTTTTTATGATAGTTCTGTACAGTTGACAGGAGTTTAAAAAAAATCCATTAAAATATTTGCTATATTTATTATGCTCTCCCATCTTGTATTACTTACAGATTTCAATGTTAAACTAGTGATATTACAATTTAGTACATTCCATCTATAAGAGGATGCAGAAAAAAACGTGTACAATTCTTGTACAATGTTAAAAAATTAACTGTTACTTTGGCAGCATCATTTACAACTAAATTTAATGAATGAGATGCATAAGGTACAAAAAAAAGCTTTAGAATTTATATTCCTTAAATTTACGATTTATGTATCCATTGTCATAAAAATTTGTCTTTCCACTTCTTTCCCAAGACTATAAATATTAAGTATTAAGTAAGTAACTGGTTAAGTAGTTTAAGTAACTGGTTTCAACTTATTTCTACTTAAGAAGTAGTTAAATAATTAAGAGATTATGGAATTAGGGACATAAATAAAACCCTGCTGAAAGAGCTGGAATTTTACTTAAAAGCTTAACTGAACCAGTCTGTAGCCGAGTACAGTGGGGACTGATTTCTTCATAATATTAGATGTAATAAAGACAAAAATTTTTCCACTTCAACAGGAGTGACTGAAAAGTTGTAAATTTTGGAAATTTCTGTAGACACCATGTGGTCGTAAAACAAATTAGTTAGAAAACAAATGATGGACAATCTATTAACATTAGTAAATAATATAAAATAAATATTGAAAATTATAACAAAATAGTTATGGCTAATAGATATATTATATCTAAATTAATAGATGTTATATGTTTTTTATCAAAGCAAGAATTGGCATTTAAAGGATATAGCGAATCTATTGAATCTAATAACAGAGGTAATTATTTATTTGTCGAAACTGTGTCTTCTTCTTCTTGTTTTGTTTGGTTCAATGTCACAACTTGGTGAATTTATTTGCCAAGTGTCAATAAATTCACCAAGTCATGACATTGAACCAAACAAAACAAAAAGGTAATTATACTGAACTTCTTTATTTATTAAGTAAGTCAGATAATCTTTTAAAAATACATTTAGAGAAATCTACTGTTTTTACTAGCTTATCAAACAAATGAATATGAATGGACCCTAGAGGGCCTAGACCAGTGTTTCTCAACCTCTAACGAATCATTGCCCCCTTCAATAAAACCATTACTTAGTATTGCCCCCTTCAAAGAAACCGTTATGTAGTATCGCCCCCTTCACTTAAAAATTCTGACACAGAGGGCCAAGGCTAATGCCAAATTTGTACTGCATTGAATAGACTAGTGACTAGTATAATGTTATTTTTTAATTATTGTATGATATAACGAATAAAATATCTAATTATTCTTAATATATTGTTTTACTATATCGCCCAGAAAATTGATTTTTGTCCCCCAAAATATAAATTGTTACTAATTGGCCCTTCAACATGGAAAAACGCCCACATGGGGGCGATATCACCCCTGTTGAGAAACACTGGCCTAGACTATCACTGACACGCACTTAACTTATTGCCCCTGGAAGTCGGCTTCTTACAGAAACACAGCTTCCCTATCATCAAATGTCACAGCATGCCACTGGTGAACAGTATATTCAATTGCAGAATGCAACTGAACTATAATGTTATTCACATGCAGTTTTATTCTGACTTTTAAAACAGTCAAGTTAACTCACACTAATTATTTATATTAACACTTTTAAGATCAAAAGGGTTATTATCTGAGGAACAAGGTGTTGGATCATATTGACCCCTGGTAGTTGTTATGGAAATAAACTTTTCACAACGATTGCTTATGCATGTCCTGGATAGTATTATTAAATTTGGTTCAATTATACCCAGAAGACTCCTCTCTAGATGTCTCTGAATAGGGATAATTTAATTATGATTACTCCGTATATATATACACACAAATGTATGTATAAAATTTTCAAAATTGTTCAATGAAAAAAGTTTGTAATTTAAATTACATTCAATTTTCTTACAAAGTCTTTCATATTGAAAAAGCAAAAATGCTTTTACTAAATTGTATTTTAATATTGTATTGTCAAATTTGTGCAATGTTAATTGAACATTATTTCAGAGTAAATGAAAAACAGGTCTAACAATGATGTCAATATAAAAAACAGTCTCATAATTTTGAATCTAGGATATTATCATTGACGAGTTATTTTCTAAAGACTGCTTTTAATTTATTATTTATCTATAGAATATTATATTTGGTTAATCTAAATATTTATATTATATATGGTATTTATCTAATTACAAGGATGTTTACACTTAATATTTATGAATTTTATCTGTTATATAGATATCCCTAGTTATGACTGATATAAAATATATTTGATAGAACAGAGTAATTTCTTGTTTTCAAAATTCACAAAAGAATAGAAAGAATTTTAAAGATAAAAGAATTTTGACAACAGAAAGAATTACTCTAACTCAGAAACAGTTATCCTAACCAAAACTTATCAAATAAATGGCTTAATAAATTGATATAATAATTTTTGATAAAAATTTTTAATTTATAATGTTATTTAAAACTGGCACTTAATCCATTTCATAAAATTAATATCATATTTTTTGTAGCTAACTATTTTATTTATAAAATTTTTTATATATTTCTGATGTAATACAGTAACCAATTAATGAAAAATTTATACTTTAAAAATGTCAAAGAAATTTAATCTTTTAAATATCTGTGGAAGATAAACAACTTCTCACATGAGATATCATAACGAAACTTATTGGGATTCACTTCTTGTTTCTGTTTTTAATGATATCATTCAATGATTATGACTCATTAGCATGTAGACTTTTGGTTATAACCTACATAAATGATAACAAAATGATCAGTAATTGCACAAATATACATTCCTAAAAATAGTTTCTGAACTGTTTCATATCAGAGATGATTAGTAAATGTATGTTTCACTTGTAACTTAAAAGAATATCACATTATGATCTTAATAAATTGAAATATTTAAAATAGAAAAATAAATTTTATTTTTAGCTTATATTTATATCTATGTAATATTGGAGATTCTGCAAATTTTATTTCAAAATTCCTTGTGATTTTTTGTTTTAAAATGACTTATTTTAAAAAATATTTGTGCAATGATGTTCATGTAAAATTTTCTTATTATGGTGCAATGTTTTATTTTCATTTCAAATTTTCAGGAATCTGAATTAGAAACTTTAAAGAATTGAAATAAAAACTATTATTAAAAATTAAAATTAATTTTAATAATAGTTTTTAAGGCAATATTAAAAATTCATAATATTTTATTTATGAAAAACATTATATATTAAATTTACATTAAAAAAATAAACTAACTAACTGATATTTAGTCATTCAATTCAATAAAAACTTACCAAGGAGTCGAGTCATGGTGTTTCCTGCAGAAATCATAGCACTTCGAGAATGTCCTACTGCAGGTAATTTAGTAGAAACTACACGATGCATTCCAATATTTCCAAGAGTATAAACATTTGAATCACCTGAAATTATAAACAGGTTTACAAATGAAAATCTATAATATAAATTTATCCATTTAAAAAAGATATATTTTATTATGGAACAACAGAATTGCTTATCATTCATTATTTAATACAAAATTTTGAGTATTGAATATTATAAGTACTTAAAGTAAAATATTACAGTATTTTTGTTTTTCCAGAACTGTGTTGTCATTTATTGTTTCTTTCTATACTTTTTCTTGAATTACTTGAATAAACCAAATTATGTATGTTAAATTTAATCCAAAGATGCTTTGAATAATAAAATCAAAAGTACTCATTAAAGTTTGGTTTATTTAAGTACCATAATGAAAAAGTATTGTCAATAAATCTATAAATATGTAGTTCTAAATTTATGATAAAAAGCTTCTTTTATTTACTTAAATTATAAGTAAATATTTGATAATATATGATAGAGCTAACCTTCAGTTTTATATCTGACATAAGTATCTTTATTTTCAATCATTGCATCAACAGCAAGTTTTTCACAATATTGAGCAGTTATGATAGCTATTGTTGGCTGCTTAGCATTGACAACAGTTGGCATTTGACGGACTAATTTTACTTCTGAAAAATAAATATATAAAATTAATATTAAGTAATATTTTTATAGATAGATATATCCAAAATATAATGTAGATTAAAATTTTAAAATCTACTGTTTTATAAAGATATTGAGGAATACAAAGATCTAAATCCAAAATTTTCAATAATTTAATAAATTGTGGTAACTAAAATGTTTTAATGCTTTTAAATTTTTATTATTTTTCATATTTTTATGTTTAAAATTATAAATAATTAGACAATATTAGCTATCTGAATTTATTTTTATTTAAATCACTTTTTAATTTTATAAATAGTACAACAATTCATAAAAATTAATACAGTATTGACTTTATTAAAATTTATTTTAGGAAGATCCTATCCAAGATTTTATTTCCAAATGATTAAAACTTTTTGAGAAAATCAGGAAAAGATTCACTTAACTGTAGTGTTGACTAATAGAAACTATAACATATACACTCATAGTAAATTATTAAATAATTTGAAATATATCAATTTTAAGCAATATGAAACACTTTGATCATTTTTTTAGCTGTATTAACTGAAATCTTTTTGAGAAATTTTAATTGAACTTATATAAAGAAAACTTGATCTCTCTTTCAATTGTGATCAGTTTTCCTTAAATTAATTTTCAAATACATTTTATTAAATATATCAAATCAAAAGAGATTTTGCAATAAAAAATCTATAAATATTAGAAGAAGAAGAACCAAATACAAAATAAACATTATCAATTTACTATCTATTCATGTACTTGTAACTGTATTTTGTAGTAAAAATATTATCAGTTATAGATAATTTTTTTTTTGTAAAAATATATGATTTACATTTAATTTTAATAATTATAACAAAACACAAGAAATAGTAATAAAAACATTAATTAATGACGGTATAATAAAGCTGTATTTGGTATATCAAATTTCTGTCAGGGTGGAGTCTGTATCTAGTGAGCATTGAATCCAATTTCAATTTTCCCTAAAGATGGACTCTGCATTTCCTTCTCCCAGATGGCCTCTTAACACTAAGAGAAAAATGGACAACAAGAATGATAGAATATTCAGTATATTGATGATTTATAGTTTCCACAACTGCAGTGCAATATCAATAACTCATAACTTTTAAAAATAATTTTCTTATTTGAATTTTAAATTCAGCATAATATAAAATGTTCTTAATATAATTCCTGAATTTTTGAAAATATGATAAATAAACAAACCAATAGATAGCAATAAAATCATCAGATTTAGCCATAACTTGGGAATTTTTTCTTAACATCCATACAGAAAAATCATAAATTTTGATTTTCTGTTGAAACATGAAATGGAAGCCTCAATTTTTAGGTACCTTTTTTAATTCAATAATGTAAAATATTAAAATAAAGCATTACCCTACCTGTATCATTCTGTGTAACTCTAGAATAAAATCCTTTTCCCATATTTTTTATTAATCCTGTTGATATGAGTGCATTTAAAATATCAATCAGTTCTTCTTCAGAGCATTGGAATGTGCTAAGTATTAACAATTAAATTTTTTTATTATAATTTCAATAAGAATTATAGTTATTTTTAGAACAGAATAAAAACTATAGTATAAAAAATAATAATACTTGGACATATCTTCCACAGATAAAGAATTAGGATAAGCTGATTCAATCATTTCTAAGACTTTTACTTTTGTCAGTTGAACTTTTAAAGGTGCTGAAAGGTCATTCATCATATCTATAAATAAATTATTTCATTTTAGTAGTTAAATATTATATTTTTAACTTATTAACATAAGATAATTCATAATTTATAATTATTACATTATTGACAATTTACCTGCATGTATTGGCAATTCAATTTTACTGCAATCCAGTTGTTTCATATCTACTTCAATTCTTTTAATATCAACATATCTGTTTTGCATTAACTTCATTATTTTTTTAATGAACCCAACATAATCTATTAAAAATAAAATTAATTATTCAACATTACATAAACAAATTCATATACAGTAAATATAAAATTTAATTTTTCTCATTTTATACAATTTGATATTATTCTTATTAAGTAATAATTAAAACATTAAATAATTATCAGATATATTAAGCCAAACCAATAAATTCAAGTTTTATTCACAAATTTAATGAAAAAGGTTTTATAAAGAAAAATAAAAAAATAATATATGTAATCATTCAAGCTGAAAGTTCTTTTTTGAGGCATACATTGACTAGACAATTCTCATCAATTATCAGAAAAAAACCTTAGGAAATTCAAATTAGTGACCCAAATTTTATCAATAGCTACAAATTGATAAGTGATAGTCATAAATATCAGCCATACCTCTTGGAAATTCAAAAGGACTAATTAATTCTTTGAAAAAATCTTGCGCATTATGCATTTTTTCCTTTTCGGAAATGTGCTCCTTGAACCAGAATAACAACTTTCGTCTTTCCTATAGGAAAAAGTATAAACTTATGTAATTTGAAAAGGAGGAAAAACATAAAAAGCTAAGTTTCTAGAATTATTTATGAGCTCTTTTCATAAACATCACAAAAGATTTATATAAATTAAGAATTAATGTTGAAATTCTGAAACTTTATTTCACCAATAATTTTACAAATATTCTTAATAAAAATTCATAAATAGTTTAATAATTGGATAGGAAGTTTAAATTCTCAAAATTATGTCTAAATTATATAGGATATAAGTAATCTAATCAATAACTTGTTAGGAGTATTCAATATAAATATTTTTCTATAAAAATAACTCAAAATTCTAAATAATATAAAACTTCTACAAATTATACCTTTGTCTGGTCATTATTCACTGCATTTGTTAAAAACACCTTAAATTCCAATGAGAGATGAGGAGGATCATCTGTTAAACTAACTAAAAAAAAGAGAAAATGTCAAATAATTTATTTTAATTGTGCATTCTGAACTTAACAACAATATAAATAGAACAAACGACAAGAATAAAACACTATTATCATTTAACAGTATCCATAATTATTAAAACCTTAATTATGAAGTTTAATATAATTTAATAATAAACATATCCTGCTTGAAAAATGAGGACATCCTTTCTTGAAAACTCCGATATTATTTTAATAGATGCAATACCTGTTTCAGTTTGTTTGTTAATGACTATTCCCCTATGATCGCCTCCGGCTACGTGCACCACGTTGCTACTGTCCAGATCGACCTGTTTCTGACGATCCATCCGTATCCTTGTGTGCCCCTGACCTTTTTTAGTAGGTGTCATAACAATGCGTTCTGCAAATAAATTTAAACTTGTTAGAAAAATACGCAAGAAAAGAACGTAAGATAAACACGATTTTTTATAGTCTTTTTTATCTCTATAAGGACACGTTATACAAAAACTATGCATTGCTTTTATTAATGGCTTCCATATGACGAAACGAGAAGAAAAGATAGAATTTACGAGTGACAACCTCTCCAAAGAGGGACTATGTAAGATATTTGAGTATCGTGATGAGTCTGAAGTGCATCTAACAGCTGACAGGAAGACGAACTTAGGCAGGGATGAAGAACCGGATGCTACAAACTCCGTTGGAATCCGGCGTGTCACACTTCCCCATTCACTGACAGTTATGAATCAATGTCAGGACTATTTTTATCCAGAATTCTCTTTCCAGTCGAGAATATCTCGAGATATAATATTTGAGTCGATAACTAATTAGCCGAACATAATTATCTTTTATTTTAAACTTGGTAATAATAGATAATTAACTTTCTAAAATGTCAAACGTCGTTAAGGTATCCAGAACGATTAATATTTGTTAAAGGTTAGATCAACTGCATTATTTGTTCAGTTTAATTTATAATTTAACAACATTTTTATTGATTTGCATCAATATTGCAAAAGGGAGATGGCACGATTTCCTAAAAGGGACACTTTCGAGGGGAAAAAAGCAATTTAATATTCGTTAACTCTGGCCAAATTCCAGTCGTACGATTTTATAATCGCTGGAGAATTTTTTATTTCTATTTTGAAATGATATTTAGCACGGAAGAACTTTAAATTGGAAGATCGTTTGTAGATAAAGATAATAACTGTATAAAATTTTAATAACGCGCATGATTTCGTAATTCGCCTAAAACATTAAAAAACGTTTAAATTTTGTATTTTAAATATCGTAATAATGATTTTTATCCTTTCGTAAGATAACAATTATTGTAAAATTGTCATTGGTAATCAATGCCCATTTCTACACTTGCTAGCGAGCTTAGAGATTTTTACTTTTATTTGCAAATATAAAAATTAACTCTTAAATACGTATAACCAAACAAGTAAAAAAAAGGTTAAGATATAAAACAATAAATATTCTAAAGTTTGTTAATAAGCAGCGTAGATTTTACCGTCGATAACGCAAGTAGGTCTAGGACTACGTGTATAATTTCATCTTTAAAATCAACGATGAAAAATTCAAAATATTCATTTCGACACTATTGACTATTGCTGTGCATAAATTCATGCCATGACTAGCAATATAACAAGAATGATAAAATATATATTTCGACTGAGCAATTAGTTTTATTGCGAAAACAATCGAGACCATCAGAAAAACTATACACGAAAATTATAAAAATGCAAACTTAAAGCTAATATATCAAAACATAAAATATGTTATCTGCGTGTTTTATCAGTTTTAGACAAGATTTCCTTTTGCAATTTTATCTATTTTATTTCGAAGATGTTCCGCAACGGAGAATAACTCATAAACTGCAATGGTCGTATCATTTAATCATATATTAACCTAGTAAAATTAAAATAATAATAATAATAATAAAAACCGGAAAAGTCCAATTTTGTTCTCTACTTTATAAAAGAATTATTATGACTTTCATAACTAATCGACGAATTTTAACATCCACTTGATTTACGACATCGAAACGACATAGCCTACTTTTGAACCGAGGTAAAATTCTTTGCTAGAGAATACTTGCCATCAACAGACAATATTTATAACAGCCAACAAGTAATTACGTAATTGTATCGTGTGTTATATTATTCTGACATCTGAAGTTTAATAGGCGACGCATCTAGAATTAATTAGCTATATAATACTAATTTGCTAAATTTAATTATAGCGAAAGAAAGTTTTTATAAAACAAAAAAAAAAAGTAAATTGTTAATCGAAAATAAATTTATGTTGTTTCAGGCAATAAAAATCGCCGATCTCGATTTTTATTAGAATAAATTAAAAGTTAACTTCACGAATATAAAAACGATCGAGCAGTTCAACGATCAATTTTGTAGGTGAAATTTTCAGTAGCCTGTCTAGACAAACTAGCATTAAAACATAGCTTTTAACATAATTTGTTATTCACTTGTTCATCCACCGTTCTAACAGTTTTATATATAAAAAAAATAGGTCACCTTTCTAAATCGGACGAATAATAAGGCTTCTAATTTTTATTATGGACTGAAACTTTCCGAGAGAAGAATAATTTATAATTTTTCTCGCTAATATTCCCAGGTGTTCGATAAGCTTATAAACATTTATAATTTATTTTAATGGAAAAGTAGACTGAATAAAAATCAACAAATCGATAAATAATTTAATTAAAATCGAATGCAATCAACAAATTTTTGGCAGGAAGTCCATCTGAGATCGTTAGTAGATCCTGTGCACTATGCAGTTCTATGTTAACCATTCCCAACAGTCGCTGGTAGAGTGACTAGAGACACGCGATTGCCAGAGAGAAGACCGAACACGACACATACTTTCATGTTGATTGTCATCCTTAATAGAATAATGTGCACCAGTCGCTTCCCTTTGCTCCTTATAGCACGTTAAAGGATGTTCTGATTCGCTTCCCGGATGATAGGACATAAATGGAAACCTACTAGTTAGCGGCTCGATAATATTATGTTAGTTATTTTCCAACAACGAATCTGGTAAAATTAAAAAGTTCTGGTAAAATCGTTTTATATTTTTAATAGTTAATAATAATCTAAAACGATTTAAAAATGTTAAAAGGAAATTCTTGAAACCAGAAAATAACTAGATGCGATACATTCGGAATATTTTTCAATTGTATGAAAGACGATAATGTAAAGAGAACTGCTTAAACTAATTCAAAAGGAGCCATTTCAATGAACTTTGAATTGAAACAAACACCGTAATTTTTATATTACAATAGGATATAATGGAGTCAAATCGAGTTCAAGTAGACGATATTTTATAGATGAACGGATCAATTTTGATTGTATTATAATTTGAACGAGTAACTTATAGTAAATTTTTCCTAGAATAATATTTAGGATTTTTTTTTGCACAGAAATATTTGAGATCAAATTTTTATTTAATCTTAACGGTCTCTACCCAGTTGTGTGAATTTTTTGTAGGACCTGTGTTGCAAAAGATCTTTTGAAAAAGGCAAACAATACGCATTTTCTTCAATTTAATCGTTACGGTTCACAGTAATTATCAAAACAATGATACTTAAGAGATAACAAGTGAAATAAATTCGATTAATTCAATATTAGATAGCGATCAAATAATAAATTTTGCTTTGTTTTGTTGGTATAAATCGACTTATTCGTGCAACTTATTTCTTTAAACAAAAGAGTAGTTTGCAATCGTCGTCTATGTCACGATAAGGAGAAAGCACGAGAAAAAACGGCAGGCTTACTCTATTCGTGAGATACTTCTTGGTCACGTTTTCGTGTACCTTACCTTAATTATATTTAAAAAATCCGATCGGATTTATTCGTAACGCAAAACAACACAAACTGATACTAATTAAAAATTCTTTTATGTTGATAAGCACGGCTCAAAAAATGCAAGGAAAAATAAACAATTAATTATTAGTACACAAAAACAACGTTTTCATAGAATAAATTATTACGTTTTAAAAAATTTTTTTATTAATAAATAAATAATTTATTAATAGGAGTTTATAAAAACAGCGATGATCCTCATGCTACGTCATGACTGTTATTACTATTATTGTGTTTAGGATGTCATGGATATCCTGTTAAACCAGTAAGAGCCTACAGTGGGAAAATATCAGACTGTACTGTAAAGCGAACGTTACGCTACGATAACTGTACCTCAATAAACACATTTCATAAACACTGTTCGGCTCTATATTTATTTAACTCACTGTCAATATTGTATGCCTTGACCCGACGACATAATTTCCATAATCAATCATCAAGGTGCCTGGAACATACATCCCCAGCAATTTGTTAACTACGAAAAAAATCTCAAATAAAACAAAGAACAATACATCTTTTCTTCACCGATCATATTACTTTTTAATCTGCATTCATAACATTAAATTATTACCGGTATAACTAAAATAAAGCAAATATTTTCAGCCAACGGTACGTATTGAATTTTATTAATACAGTATTTAAAAATTGCATAACCTATATTCTATTTTCGATGGAAAAATTCAGAAAAGCAGGAAAAGAACTATTTTGAATGGTTTCCGTAGATTTTTTTTACTTTGTAAACAATGAAATACCGGCAATACCATCCTATTCAAAACTCCCACAGTTTCGAAAAGAGAACATTTCGTCACCGAACCCGTTCTTAAAACCAAAAATTACACGTCAGATATATAAATACATCATTGTTCAATAACTTCCCACTCGAACAATTAAAGAAACTGGATATAAAGTCCAAAACGAGTTGATAACCTACCTAGATGACATCACTCGCCCACATATTAAATTCGGCGTAGGACACTGAAATTACGTGTAATCAAAATTCTACTTATACAAATTGCGTATATTTTCGTCATGCTCTCCAAACACTCCAAAACCTTTATTTATGAGTAATCGAGTGCGAACGTGGTACTACAACGAAAACTCTCATTACGCAACTGAACAACGCTTTAATCACGTCGTCGTCTGAATCAATAGATTATATTCAATTAAAAGCAACTAGCCCGTAATCGAGTAATCAATTACGTCAAATACTCGAGAAATTTTATTGCTTAAATCGCACATATTTAAACTAGAAATTACTTTAAATTTACAAATCGAAATATTGCATTTATTACTGACAATTGTCATCTTTAAAATATTCTACGCTTCATTAAAAGTTTATTTCTTTTTTAATAATTTCCGCTTCGTATAGATTTTATACAGTCGATAACTCGAATGATGTCGACCTATACAGATAGAATTGCATCAATATTTAAATTTTTATATTATCTCCTGAGACTGTTCTTTAGACCGTTTATGCGTTTTTACGAGAGTTCTCATGATTATTTATTCTAGAAAAAAAATTATTTTTTTAAAATCGAAAAACGTGTGAACCGTACAAATTTTATGGTTGTAACTATCCTGTGATTTTCTATAGGCAATTGCCACAAACGATCACAATTAGATAATATACTGAAGACATCCGATTTGGCTGATTATCCGCTTGTAGTTGGTTATTGCGAATTAAATGCAGTTATCTTTTAGTACAAAAGAAGTTTACTAGTCTGTCATGAAAGAACTTTCTTGTTACCCATACAGTTCCTCGAGTATATATAAACTTGGTCTACGAACTTTGACTCATTCACTCGACGGTTTATTTTTACTATCGATAGATCCAGATTTTAGTCATAAACATTGCTAGACGGATGATTATTTTTTATTCAAACATGCTAAATTTTTAAAAAAGTGCTATTGGAATTTTTTACATCCATTACTTAACTTGGGAACGTCATCGGTAAGGTCGTTTTCTATCGATAAACATACAATAGACTATCTCCTTGCGAGATAGACGATATCCGATTATGGTGATGTTACGTGACCAACTGTCAAGAGTAGAGCATTGTCTTCACTAATATAGACTTTTTAATGAGTTTAGAAACGAATTATGCCGAAGCTGCAACCAAGATGTATCCCGATAATAATGAAGTTATCGAGTACATTTTGACTGTGCATAAACATATATATGTACTGTACTGTACGGCATTCATCACGCTCAGGCAATCGCAGAAGATTTGCCGATGATTGGCAGAAAAGACCATTAAACAATTCAATTGGCTGTGAAGAACACAGTGTAGTTCATTCAACCAACTTTGGGGTCATCGTCAGGTGGACTCCCACTTGTGTGAACAATTATACTAAACGAAACGAATAGAAAAATCAGCATAGATAAAATTTATTTGCATTGTCGTTTGTTTTTATCGATACTAAAAATCTAAATTTGCATCGAAATCATTTTGTCAACGTTGAATAAACACATTTCTAAATAGAGACCACTTAATAATTTTTATAAATACAGTATTTAATTTTCTAAACTAACTTTACGTAGCGACTTACTTAACAAGAGATGCATTGATACGGATTTAGATAAGAATTGTTTATTCTGCACACGAGCTAATAATAATCAGATAAATGTACAAAATGTTAATATATGCCATCATTTAAGTTGTGAATAAAATGATAGTTTTTTCTATAACATTCCAAAAATAAAAAAAAAACGAAACTAGCTTTTCCCACACGTTTCTATTGTACGGTCATAGAACAGTTCGGTCACAAGTAGTAGGCTATTACTATTTTGTATCGCCACCTGCGTTGTACTAGTTCTAAATTCATTTATATGGTCTGTACAGGTTTAATATACGAATATATATATTCATATAAATATTTACTCGACTATTGCGAAATCGATCTATATTGAGTTTTAAATTAAATTGATGATATCATACTTGCAACACCGGACTCTTAGGTTAACGAATAAGGAATGACTTGTTGAACTATTTTCGTTAAATAAAACAATGACTTTTTCACAATAGACGTTAATCTAAGTTTACGAAATATGTAAACGAACACAGATTTCTATACAAGCAATAACAGACGAAGGAAATTGACAATAATTCTGTAGAACAACTTTTAAATTTTAAACACTATAAAATAAACTAATTGTTTATTTAAAATATTAAACACTTCGTTACACTAGATACAGGAAATAGGTAACAAAACACTTAAGTCGCAACAGGTATGGAAAACGAACGTGACTGTTTTAGCATAGTTTTCGATGTTTTCCTTTTATATCTGATGCAAACAGTTAACACACTCTTTAAGGCAACTTTCTACATTTATATTTTAAAAATTCTCTTATTTTTAAAAATACTGTATAAACAGAAAAATTTTCATTCCCAACAATCAGGCATTCAAAAGCGAGTGAATCATAGTAAAAACATTTTTATATAGGGAAAAATGCTTACCTTCGCACGTGATTTCTTCCATTTTTCTTTTTTCTATTGAGGCGCCCGGAGATTAAAGCTTTTCGCTCTCAAATAATAGAAGGACGGTTGGGGACCGATATCCATCAACGGTCTACTCTTCTCCGATCTGAGTCCGGCAACACACGTGCACCACGTCATATTGGCGGCCGATGACGTCACTTCCGCGACGCTACTTCTTTCCATCATCTTATTGGACGTCCGATCCTCCTTCGGTGACGACACGATATCGTATGACGTAAACAGACGTTCAAAGTACAATAAAATTTTTTTTGTCCGGTTTTGGAAATTTTGCAGGTTCGATGTTGCAAATTCCAAAGCGAAAATTTCACAATTTATGTTTTCTAATTATAAGTTGTTTCTATAGTTTCTGAATATAAACGTGCTTTATATGTGTAATACAATACGATGCGCTTCTATTGTAACAATAACCTTGACAGGAGTTTGATAAAGGCTACTATCAATAAAAGATAGTGTTTTGATACGGTAAATCCGTATCGTTTCCTTTTTGAACAATTTATTGAATGGAATATGTACCTCGTTAATCCATATTTATCTTAAAACTTAGTCTTATGTTACTTTTGATACAAAATTTTAATTTCAGTTGTTTATTCAAACATAATTTTTATTTATATTATCTCCTCCTTGCGAAACTGAAATAGTTTTAAGTCGACTCGACATTTTCTAAATAATTTAGTTTTATCATTGGTTTCGTAACTAATACGCTACTGCACTCGACACCTATTAAGAAATCTAAACAACGAAGTTTAATAATCGTATAATTTTAAGGACCATATAATCGATTACAAGACAAAGTATCATTGATGCGTAATTTACAGTAAGATGAATTAATTGGTGTAAGTGTATCGTAAGAAATCGATCGATCAATATATAAATTTCGATCAGTTATATTAGACGCTGTGCAGTAAATAAGTAGCTGGATACAAGAATAGGATACTATAAATGATACAAATTATACAACTTGAATAATCAATATAAAATATAAAATACGCAAGAAGTTGTACGATCATTTATTTAATGCAATTCACAAAAATCGAACAAGCAGAACTTAAGTAGAAGTTTTTATTAGACGATCGATTTATTAAAAATATAGTGATGCATATTAAAAAATACGGAATGCTAAATAAATAATCCAATGTTATAATTATCAAGTACAGATTTCGGAAGAATAATTTTACCTTCTGAAATCTTTATTAAATAAAAAAAATGAAGTTCTTAATTAAAAGCTACTCAAAATCTACATTAATGACAGCAGCTATTAAAATATCGTGTAATCATCGATTATAAAATTTGACTGTCAACTAAATATTAAGTCGATGTCAGTCGGGAGAAAGGTAGTGAAAAATGAAATTTTAATATTTGTAATTAAATTTACTAAATATAAACTCTTCAATTGACAATTATCGTCAATTAGAGTCGATATTAGTATAAAAATAATGCTTTCAAAATTTAAAAAATGATAGCCGAATACTTCTTATTTTAAATATATTCTTTAGATATCCGAGAATTTTGATATAATTACATTGATATTTGATAACAAGGCATTTATCACAATCTTCGACTGAACCTGTTTTTCTACTAATGTAAATTAAAGCTTGATATTTGGATAAGTTTCAATTGTGTACGCGACTTTAATTAGTCTTTTGTGTATTTATTTAGTGACTCATGTTTATTGATAAGATATAAACTAATTTCCAGTGTTATAACCTAAGTTTAAGGCGGGAGTCTAAAAAAATCGAATTAAAGTTTCCTATATAGAATTAACATGCCAAGGTTTTGATTTGAGTTTAGATAAGAAAATCTCACATTGATACCAAAATGAATCGAATTTTGCCAATATTACAATGTAATAAAATACATTACATAAACATCGTTCTAGTGTCATCAAAACATATTAAATTATATCGATACATAAAAAATTACACGAATTATGAGAAAATAATTTTTACATAATAAGTAATTTTTTGCGTTTTTTAAAATTTAACGACACGTTAATTCATATACTGTATTTTTCATAATTTATTTTCCTACATTGATTAATTTTCATGTTTATATTCATTTATCTTTACAGTTTCTATTATTAATATTGATTATGTACTGTGAGTATATTTTATGTAACCAACGCGTTTCGATCAATAGAAAAGAATATAATTCGCTCCTATATACTGCATACCACGGTATATTTGAGAATATCCCATTTTTTCTTGTATTAATAAAAAAAATTAAAATTCTATTTCAAACATTTTACCTAATTCTAGTTACGCTATGTTTTATTTAAAGTGTATCACGCCATTTTTCGAGAAAGTAGAATATTACGCCTATTAAATCTATGATATGAATGTTTTTATGACCTTCTTTTAAACAATTTTATGAGTTTAATATTATTTTAGTGCCAATATTAGTTTCGATGAAAAAAAAAACCATAAGATATTCCAAGCATATTTTAATATTTTTACATTAAAGGTACACTCCGTTATGGTTCTTATTTATATTTTAAATAAGGTAAACATATTTTCTTGCAAAGCATCAAAACAATTCTGTTCTTACTACAATCACCGCCAGGAGGTTTCTCCTTCATGCATTAAAGTAGTTAGGAAAAACCGTTTATACGTCAATCATTGTATAAAAACGCAAAAAATAAAGCAATTAAATGATGATAATTAAATATTTTATTATTATTATTTTCTTCGGTTTAAAAAGAATTATCGATTTAATTTCTTATTTACATTTCGTATAATTTTAGCATTTCTAAATATAGATGGGGTTAGGGAAAGCATGCTACGAACGGCACAATGATTTCAGATGTTCAAGGAAAATATTTTTGAATAAAACGAAAAGATTTTTTGAGAAAACGGGTATTAAAAATAATTTAATATTTGTTGGCAAAATTAACAATATATTTATAAGAGCGAATCTTCCAAATGGATGAGGGCGGCGGCGAATCTTCCAAAGATGCAGAAAATAGCGATAAAACGAGTGATGAGATGATATTAACGAAAATGGATAAATTTAAAAAACTATTTTATAGCGATGTTGAATGGGAAGCATATTTATTAGAAAGAATCGAGAAAAGAGAAAAAGGTGAGATGATTTTAGTATAAAAAAGTGTCGACAGTCTATATAGAGTAGAATTAATGGAAAACAATATTGTTCTATAGCACAAAAAGGAATAAGTCCTGTAAAAAAGAATAATTTATTAAAGAGATTAAAGAACCTATTCACAACGTCTCAAGAATGCCAGAAGTTTCTGGATAGAGAAAGAGAAGAATATCTTCAATCTCAAAGAAAAAAAGTAGATACTGAAAGTGAAAAATAATTATCTTAAAAATGTGTGAAATTTTGTAATAATTATTTTGAGAAAATTCTCTTTTATAAAGAAATTATTTTAAATAATAATAATAAATTTTTGGTTTTTATAAAACCCCAAAATATAAATTTGTCATTCTTTTAATTTTAATAAGGCTTTATATACATGGTATTTATATAAATCTCCAACAGACAACTTTTGAATTCTATTAAAGTAGTTGTTTTATAAGTATTTTTGTATATTCAAATTTTATAACCAACTGTTATTAAATACAGAACTAAGATGAATATGTAACTTTGTATTCATTTCCCTAATTCTGTACCCAGAGAAAAAAAAACATAAATACTTAATAAAACTTCCAATATGAAATAACATGCATTTAAAAAGCACTAAATGTAATTAATCAATGTGTCTGATTTTAATACATTATAGTTATATCAATGCTTAATTAAAAGCAAATAACATTAAAATATGTAAATCAAACTTTGTTCTTTAATGATTGCTCTTAAATTAATGAATGATTATTTGCTGATTATGTGTATATGTTATATATATACAGTATATAATTTTTTGGGGAGGCAAATAAAATACTATTATATTAAAAACTGTCATTTTTACATAATAAATAGTTTTAAAAATTTGAAATTGTTTAAGGTAATCTTTAATTTTGCCATATTTTTTAATGTGATTCTTGAAAATCCTTGTAGTAGTAGTAGTAGTAGTAGTAGTAGTAGTAGTAGTAGTAGTAGTAGTAAAAAAGACCCCAGAAAGGCCATGAAAACTTAGTTCTCATAAGAAATGAGCAATTTTAAAGGAAATTACAAATAGAACAAGCTCTATTGAAAATACTGGAGAACTCTATTGAAAATATGGAGTAAGCTCAGGGACAGTTTGGAATGTAGTTCATGCTGTCAATCATCTCTAAAATGCCAAAAGAAAGTCTGAATCAAAGCTCACATACAAGCAGAAGGCTACCAGATTGACTTGGGCCAGAAATCGCATGTGACCTGGAAGGAACATTGGAGGAATGTAGTGTGGTCAGATGAGAAAAAGTTCAATTTAGATGGGCCTGATGGTGCCAATACTATTAGCATGATTTAAGAAAGGAGAGAGAAATCTATTCCAAATGACAAATTGGTGGAAGTTTCATGATAGTTTCAGGCTGCCTTTGGAGAGCAAGTGGAAAATAAATATTGCCTTTTCTGAAGAAAGGCAGAATGCTAAAGGTTACATCTAGCAGGCTAGAAATACATCTACTTTCTCTTGGAGAAAGACTGGAAGTTATCAGTGGCAATTCCAGCAAGATCATGTTTCCATCTATACCATCAACATTATCTGGGAATGATTTCTGGCCAACAGGGTTCATATCATGGATTGGCCAGGCATGTCACTGAATTTGAACCCTATAGAGAATGTCTGGAGACTTCTGGATAGGTCAGTCTATGCAAATTGAAAGCAATATGATAATACCATTGACTTGAAGGCTGCAATCATTGAGATATGGGATAAATTTCTTGGGATTTTCTACAAAAGTTGATCAAGTGGCTGACGGACAGAATTTTCAAAGTAATCATAAACAAAGGAGGGCATTCTAGTTATTAGCTTTCATAAATAATCTTGAAAATATCATTTTCTGTCCATTATTCATAAGTGATCTTATAATTATTGAACACTTCAAGAAACTCATTTCTTCAATAAAATTATTCTGTTGTTCATATTAGACCTTGATACTTTGTATATAAATGTAAAAACAAATTGAAATACATAAAATTTGGTTATAATCCACTTCTCTATCTAAAATAAATTTAATAAACCTAGTGGTTTTATTTTTATTGAACACATTATATTTACAATATATAAATATTCTAGGAGGGGCCATCTAATCTTCATACAAATTAGAATTTTGAAATTTCTTTTAATTTTATACATTATAAAAATACTTCAATATAAGTTTTAACTGTTATATACAAGTAGTTGAATTTTGTACTGAAACAGCTTTATAATTTTCTCATAAAGATTTTTATTATTTATATTACATATAATTCATAAGTTCTAGTAGCCATTTAGACTATGCATTCTTAAAAATATTCAAAGGACTAAAATTTTAATTTCTGTATTTAGACTGTAAATTTCCAACTTTAAAAAGTTATGAAAAATGTTTTTAATTATAAAAACATTTGAAACAAAAAAATTGAGTTTTACAATTTAAATTTGAACAAAAAAATTGAGTTTTACAATTTNTAATACAATTTATAAATCAATAATTAAAACTTAATACAGTAGACCCCCCTGTAACACTGTTAATAATTCCATGTTATATGAATTCCATGTTGTACCAGTCACTTATATTTGTAAAATATGTGAGCCGTTCACAGCCCGGCACACATATTTGTAAAATCTAAGTGACTCGTACAACATGGAATTCATATAACATGGAATTATCAACAGTAACAAAATATTTTTTCTTGAAAAAAGTTGTAATTATAAAGGTTTTTATGAACATTTGTAAAGTGTGCAACGTATTAATGTGAATATGTAGTTGAAGTGTTTTTTAAATGGCTGTATTTTTAATCTTTTCCAACGTTACCAATTATACACCAAGGTTTTTAGAAAACAGAATCTGAGTTTGTACTGAAGAGGGACTTAAATTACAATTGAGTCTGAAATGCATATGACAAACCAATAAAAGAAGTTCATAACCTGAATGCTGTATATGATAGTCTACCGAACTGAAAATCGGATTAAAGAGACAAATACACAACAAAGTAACAAAATATTTTGTATATTTTGTTACTAACTAATTTCTATTCTAGTATTTAACCTCCTTTACTCCATTTGTCATGCGTTAAACAACTGTATCTGTAATTTGTATCATTCACTCGGGATAGTACTGGATTATACCTGTTGTGGCACCCAGATACATTGTACAATGTATTCAAATAAAATATATGTCTATGTCTATGTACTGTAATGTATTATGCATAATGAACATAAGTATCCCTATTCAGTCATCTGCAGAGATATAGAGCAACCAAAATTAATGTCTTTGAAATATGCAGAAGCACTTTGCATGGAAAAAATAGTTACAAAAATCACTATCAGGAATTTGGTGCTGTAAGCAAAAAAATCATAATACATATTTTCACATGGCTGGACTTCACAGGCATTTTAATGAGCATAAAAAAAGTATAAGATGTTTCATCTTACAAACCTTCAAGAACCTTTAAAATCCAGTAACAGAATTTAATGAAAACATCTAACAAATGTTTTCAACCTTGCCCATGGTGTGCTCGGATTTTTAACCAACAAATTTCAAATTAGAATGTGCAGAACAGACAGTAAACTAAATCCCTTTCAAACCAGTTGTCTCTGACTGGAACACTGTTCTGGCCAGAAACAACAGGTTTGAAAAGGATTTACTTTACATTGGTTTGACTAAACACTCAATACAAAAAAGGTGCAAGAACATTGGTACCACATTGTAAACAAAAGGCATACCACCACCCTGTCCATGTAGGCCACTGACCCCGACTTGTGTGCTAAGCTCTAAAATGCCAAATTAATAAGGCAGTCCCTTCAAATGGCTTATATTTGGAACCTAGAAACCTTAAAAATATACAAGGCCAGCCTGATTGGCAAATGCATTAACTTTAAAGACTGTAACAATGTATCATATGCATGGAGGTATCTTTATGAAAAATTGGGCAATGTTAACATATATTAATTTCTCTTCATCATTAGTTATGGCTTAATAAATTTTTGTATATGGGTTAGTTATATATTGTATGATTTTTATATTATCTACCGTTTAAATTTTTATATATGTTATGTGTTATTCCAAATTTTTAAAAATAATTTTTCAAATATATTCTGTTCTGCACATTCTAATTTCAAATTTGTTGGTTAAAAACCTGAAACAGACCTTGGGCAACATCAAAGACATTTGTTAGATGTTTTCATTAAATTGTGTTACTGGATTTTAAAAGTTCTTGATAGTTTGTGACTTGTTCCAGTAATTCAGTAAGAAACTAGTTTTTAATCTGTTTCATCTTATATCTGCACATAGTAAAAATGTAATGACACACCTTATATGAACATACTTTGCTTGTGTATCAAAAAATAATCATAAGCTATGTTATTAAAAATATGGTAATACTACTATTGAGTTTTGTAAACTCTGAAACAGCATTTATTTTTTTTTTATTCTTACTTAAAAAATATTTAATATTAAATGTATTTCTTTCCATCCTAACAGAGCCTTTATTCTGTAGGTTCAACAGATCCACAATAACTGAATGATAAAAGATGGGTCTGACATATCTGAGACAGACTGCCCATGAGAAATTCCTGAAGTTTCCAACTTGGACTTAAACCAGGGCACCTCAGCTATCTAGCAACCCAAAAAAAGCAGTTAATTAATTAATGAACATATAAGTTAATACTGGAATTATTTTTTATGTTAATTAAAGATCAGAGGTTACAATATTTATTAATAACTAATACAGTTGAACCTGTCTATCTCAAACATGTTTATCTTGAAAACCTCTTTATCTCGAAATTTATTTTCTCCCTGCATTTTCAGCTTAAATTCAATATATTTTCCATGTTTAACTCAAATAATTTTCTCCCAAAACCTGTATATCCCAAATTTTGAATGGAAGTATTAATTACAATTTCAAAATTTAGCAACTTCATTTTGATTGTATAAATTGTAGTTGGGCAACATATTTTGTAATACAGTACATAGTTGCAATTAATGTCACTTTTTGCTCTTGGCTATGAGTTTGGCTTGCATCTTATTGCTGAAGAACGTCAGGAATCAAACTATTGACAAACTTATACTTCCCAACCTTTACAATGGAGAATAGCTGGAATGTTGGTAGAAAAATGCTGACAGCATAAAAAACAAAAAAGTTCTTTATTAACATTGATATTACATAATGCTTATATTAAATACCTTTAATATACAAAATGTTATTTCTACATACAATATCTTACTGTATAAACTATTGCTATAAACACTGTCAAGAGTATGACAATAGCTTTATACTCTTTAACATCACAATTTAAAAAAGGTCAAATATTTTACAGGACATATCATAAATCTATGTCTAGATCAGAGGTCACCAAAGTGGTTGATATAACATTATTGGGGGTCAATTATCAAGCTTAAGTTAAGTATAAGGGATCAAGAGCTAAGGATCAAGCTTATCTGTCGCACTGATTGTCAGTTACAAAAATTATTATTAACAAATACCTGTATACAATAAATGAAAAAAAATGCAAAATTAAATGTATTAGAATAGTAAGTACTTTGTTTTGCTTGTAACAAACTTTTTGGTAGGAGTTGAAAACTTGTAGGGTGTTGATGATCAAAAAAGTTTGGCGACCCTTGGTGTAGATTTATGATAGGTTCCATCTTGATGTGTCATGAATCTCGATATTGTATGAGTACCTCTTGATGTATGCCTTTGTGCAATGTTTTGCTTTGTTAACTTCTTCATAATTGAAGTTTAGACTATTTACAAAAATTAAATTAAATTTTCCAATGTATGTATGTCTCTTTAATCCGACATTAAGTTCGGTAGACTATCATTACAGCTTTCAGGTTAGACACTTCTTTTATTGTTTCCACATATGCATTTCGGACTTATATAAATGTTAAGTCCCTCTTCAGTGCAATACTACAAATTATTAAAAAAACATAATTAGTAACATGACAAAACTCTTTGTATGCAGGTCATATTTACTGACATAAAACTATCATACTTAAAAATTGTCACACTTATACGATACCTATGGTTCTGTCTTCTAAAACCACGGTGTACAACGGGTAACATTGGAAAGATTTTAAAATACAGCCATTAAAAACACCACAAATACATTTTCCAACATTAATACAGAATACCTAATATACTAATAATTTTATAATTTTTTTTTACTTTATAACATCATATTATAAGGTAAAAAATTATAAAATTATTAATGTTAGTTGTGTTAGTTGATGCATCAGCTCTTTGAGGTGTTGGATAAAAGCTGCTGCATTTGAGTCTGGTAGTGTAGGGGCAAGGAAATCGCCAGGTAGCCGTAAAGTCGTTTCATAGATGAGTTCAGCGGTTGTTGTTTTGATGTCCTCTTTAAAGGCAGCTCACATCCCTAGCAGCACTGACGGTAAGACCTCTGCCCAATGTTCGGTCAAGCAAGCTTTGAGAGCCAATTTGAGTCTGCAGTGGCTGTTCTCTACCAGGCCATTTGCCATTGGATGAAAAGCTGTAGTGTGGATATGGCTGATGCACAATAGTTTGGTCAAGGCTCGGAATATGTGTGATTTGAATTGCCTACTCTGATCGATAGTGACTGTCTCTGGTACACTGTAATGCATAACGCACTGACCGTAAAAAACCTTTGCAACAGTCTCTCCGGTACAGTTGGCAATTGGGAAAACTTCCATCCCATGGATGAACCTGTCAATGAGCATGAGACAATATGTGCTACCTTGTGAAGGTGGAAGGGGACCTACAATGTCCATGTGGACATGTTCAAAATGAGCATCAGGGTCCTGAAGGTTTTGGACAGGGCCTATGAATTTTCGCTCATTGGCATGGTATGCAGGTTTTGGCCCAAATATGGGAGTCTTTTCTGAATGAGGGCAAACAAAATGGCTGGTTAATAATTTTGTGGTAGCTAATATCCCGAGATGAGCCAAATTGTGCGTGGCATCAAAAACCTGTTTACAGAATTTCTCCGAGATATACGGGCGAATTTTGTCCATAGATATATTGCACAATAAGTTGGGGCCTGCATCTGTTAATGGAATCTGCTTCAGCGCAAGATTGTATTGGAAGAAAGTAGCTGTTGTAATTCGGGGTCGCTGATCTGAGCTTGCACAATGCTTGTGTAATCTACTGCGTTTGGCACTTCGATCATTTCGAATCATGACAATACGTCCACCGGTATATTGTCACTGCCTTTGAGGTACTGGATGTCAGTGCTAAATTGCCCTATGAAATCTAGGTGCCTTAACACCTAGGTGTGCACTTCTCTGGCTTCTGACTAAAGGCAAAAGTCAGTGGGCAATGGTCCATGAAGACATGTAAACTTTCTGCCTTCCAGCATGTGTGTGAAGTGCCTGATTGACAAGTATACGGCATAAAGCTCTCTATCAAAAACGAACAATTTTCACTGTGGTTCTGTTAATTTGGCAGAGAAGAAAGCTAGTGCCTGCATCTCACGTGTGCTGTTGGCAGTATCAACTTGATTTAGGAAACCACCAATGGCAATATCACTTGTGTCAGTAAAAAGTGCCAATTGTGCATTTGGATTGAGGTGTGTCAGGAGTGTCGTGTTCGCTAATTTCTCCTTGCAGTGATGGAAAGCATTGGTTGTCTCCTCAGCCAATTGGATTTTGTTGTTGGATTTAAGATTTGATTCTTTTAATAATTCATTTAGTGGGGCTTGTGCTTGGACTGTGTTTGGGATGTTCCTACAAAAATGGTTAAGTAGCCCAAGGAAACGCCTGAGCTTGCGAACCATTGTTGGAATTTTATACGATAGTATAGGGTCTACTCGTTCGGGGTAGTGGTTTAATGTCATCCTTGCTAACTAAATATCCCAATAACAGTAGTTCTGAGGCTCCCAATACACATTTGCTCAGGTTTACACTGACACTGTACTCAGATAAGCGACAGAAAATGGTTTCCAGGTGTTTCTTGTGTTGCTCCCTAGATTCACTAGTGATTAAAATGTTGTCTAGGTATGTAAAGGTGAAGTCGAGTCCCTGGAGTACTTAATTAATGAATCGTTGGAAAGTTTGCCAGGCATTGGACAAACCAAACGGCATGAATACAAATTCAAAAAGACTGAAAGGAGTTGTGATCACAGTATTTGGATGTCTTTAGGATGTACTAGTACCTGATTGTAAGTGCAGACTAAGTCAACTTTGGAGAACATGGTTTTACTGAACAAGGAAGAGGAGAAGTCTTGCAGATGTGATAATGGGTAGCAGTCGGGGATAGCAATCATATTCAATGTTCAGTAATCGCCTGTTGGTTAAACTCGCCATTTGTCTTGGGTACCATGTGCAATGGGCTAACCCAGTTGGAGGTGCTGGGCCTGCAAATTTTGTGCTCCATCATATACAGTGGTACCTCGGTATACATCTGCTTTAAAATACATCCAATTTGGAATACGTCCTGTTTGGACAAAACAAATTTTGCTCAGTATACAACTTTTGTTCAGTATACGACTTAATTCAATTATACACGCCATTTATGAACAAGTAGCACTATCGGTGTACTAGATCAGACTAGACGTTTGCGGTGCCACAGTTTATAACTTTGTTAAATTTTTTTCTGATTTTAAATCGTAAGTAAAATTTTATTATTTTTATTAATCGTGAATTGCAAAAAGGCAACAGAAAAATAAAAAAATGACTAGAATCACAACGGAACTGAAAAAAGAGATTGTTGAGAAATATGAAGGTGGCATCTGTGTTTGAGATTTAACTGTTGCATACCATATTTTGTGAACGACGATATCAGCAATCGTGAAAAATAAAGACATTATTAAATCTGCTAACGTTTCGAAAGGGGTTAAATCAATTTCTAAACATTAGATCATGTTGAGAATTGCTTTTGCTGTGGATAACTGAAAAACAGTGTGCTAGAGACAGCGTATCAGAAGCAATTATTTGCGAGAAAGCTAAAAAGATACATGCTGATAGCCAGGAAAGCGAGGTTTTTAAAGCCAGCCATTTTTTTTACATGAGAATGAATTAATCATTTTTACATTACTTCTTATGGGAAAGGTTGGTTTGGTATACGTTCTACTCGGTATAAGTCCAAACATCAGGAACCGATTAAGGTCATCGTATACCGAGGTTCCACTGTATTGGAATTCTTTTCAAGCCACCTCAAGTTTGGCTGGGTGCAGTCAGCGGGGTTTACTGGCTGTCCCTTTGTTATAATGCAGTGTATGGTGTAGTGTTTGGGTGTCCTGGGTGTCCCTGTGGGGTAAGGGCGGAAAATGTCAGGGTACTTTTTCAAGATACTCCAGTATGCCGAGCTGGCTATCAGCATTACTTGGGGAATTTTCATCTTGGTTTTTTTACCCATAGTGGATAGGTTTGTAATTGAATCGCAGAGACATGTGCCTTTTAAGGCAATTAGCAATCTGTAGTGCCGCAGAAAATTGGTGCCTATAATTGGCTTACTAACGTCGACTAGTACAAATGGCCACTGGAAATGATGGTAGAGATTAAGCTCAAGCCTGACTAACTTGGTACCATATGTTCGTATTGGTGCACCATTTGCCGAATAGAGCCTCACGGCATGGGAATTGTCTTGCATGTCTTTCCTTGAGAAAGGCAAAACACACACATCGCTTCTGCTATCTACCAGGTACTCATGGTTAGAAGTGGGGTCGAAGATGAATAAACTGCTTTTACTATCGGGTCTGAAATCAAAGCAGGCCATCTCATGCGTTTTCCTTAAAGGTTTCCCAACTGGCGAAAAGAGCATAGACCATGGCAGCGTTTTGCCTCTCTCTTGTATTTCTGATGATACCAACACTGGTTGCTAGCATCACCTTTCTGTGTCTTTGAGCACCACAATCAGCACGGTTTTCCCTGTCTATCTTTTTCTCAAGAGTGGGCTAATTGTTCGATTCTCTGACTTAAAAATTCTACCTGTGTCTGGAGCTCGTTTAACTGGCCTCAGGTATTATCTGAGCCCTTTTGAACTTCGTTAACACTCACATACATTACTTTGCGTATTTTCTCAGCCATGGTAGCTAAGTTTTCTAAGCCGTCGTTGGAGGCTGCCAGGATCGCCTGAGTCTGTTGTGGCAGTAGCTGTAGCCATAAGGTTTTTAGGAATCTTCCCCAATTTGTTGTTGGCTAATTGCTTCCTTTTTCTCAGTAAATGGGATGATTTTTCATCTCCCAATGTGATGTCCGAGAATAGTGCTTTGATTTGCCTTTGCTTCAAGTCTGAGAAATTGGCAAGTAGTTGTGTCTTAAGCGTGTTGTAATGGTTTTTGGCAGGTGGATTGAGAACGATGTCGCTCACATAGTTCAAAATGTCGGAATTGAGAGCGGAGACGACCACGTAGTATTTGGTACAGTCTTTCGTGATACAAGAGATAGCAAACTGGGCCTCGATATTCGCAAACCATAACTCTGGGGTCTTGTCCCAAAATGGGGGTAATCTGAGGGCAACTATGTTCACTTCGATGGTGGGTTCTGGCTCCATCATCTTTGTTTGGCTGCTTGACTGGCATGAAAGAAAAAAGGGAGGCCTACCTGGATTCTTGTATATGAAGTCTGGAATTTGGGTTTTGGATCAGTCGGTGTCACTGGAATCATGTTGTCCAGATCCTCCGCCGTAAAGGTTACGTCGTCCAAATTACTACTTTGCAGAGATCACGTTCGGGTCACCAGTGAGGAGGCTACTGAAGCCATACTTCTTGAGAAGATTGGTTGAGTCGGTCACCGATTACATCCGCAAGTAGCGTTGTTGTTGTCATGCTGGAGGAATGAATACCGGCAGTGAAGGAATCCAAAGGTCAATGTCATGAGTTCCTTTTACAGAAATATATACAATAACATCAATCATGGAAAGAATGTTCGGAGCACGCGGTGAAGTGAAAGTCCGAACAGGAGTAAGGTAAACGCACCGGTAGTGGACACTGCGTTAGTAGTGGACACTTTGAACTTCAAATATGAGTAATAAGGTTGTTGATGGCTTCACTGTTCAAACATACAAATCATTCAGTAGACAGAACCCTCTAGTGGTGGTAACTCGCACTGATCCTTTTCTAGTGCATCATGGGATGTTTTCCTGCGCTCATTAGTGATGGCATTCCTGCTGATATAAGAAGACAAGTGAGTCTGCTGTCTGTTTCCTTAAGGTCTAGGTAATTTAAATCACGCTTGCTGTATTAACAGTTAGTTTCACGGAAGTTTTTTGGTGATATACTATTAATATGAGCTTTGTTGGTATGTTTTAAGACCTTCCTGATAGTATTTTTATTTTCCAAGTCAATTGAATGAGATGTCCACTAATGAAACAAAAATATTTAGTAGTGGACAAGAGGTGGCCACAACTAGTGAAAATGAACTTTTCACTTTTAATCAGTATCAAGTCAAAAATTAAATCACCTAATGTTAAGTAACATACAGTATTGATTCAAGCATTTTTTGGTTACTCTGTCTAGTCATGGACGGGGGTGTTCACTATTAAACCGTGAATGTCCGTTTATTGAAATGAGGTGTTTCAATAGTGGACAAAACATGGTTTGGTGCCATGGGATCCTACAGCACCCGGTATGCTAAGTAGGAAAATAATGTGCAAGAAGAAGTCAGACAGTACTCTCACGAAAAGTGATGTAAGAGTTGGTTTTGAAACATTAAAAATATACATGGGACCTGAGAAAGTGGGGTTATTTGAGACTGTAGTTTCTTCTGAAGATGTTGAGGCTACAGACAAGTCCCTGTTCAATTTATGGCACCAGATGAAGACAGATATCATGAGTCAAGTAACAGCTGGAAACAACAGCAAATCCTTCAACAATAATGAATCAGAACATGAAGGTTCGACGGTTGAAACTGCTCAAGTCAATCGCAACCATGAGATAAATGATGTCAGTAACACCAGTGCATTCAGTGATTCATATATTCATGATATTCATAATGACTACCACTATCAAAATGAAAGACCTAGTACTTCAAACACTGGCAATACCATTGTTGCCACAAGTACACACAATAGTCGCAATAACGGTCAGATCTCTGAAACAGTACCTAGTCCTTTCAAAAGGTCACTTCTCTGGCCAGAACCCAGGGAAATCACTAACAAAAGGAAGAAAAAGGAAATCATACCTTCTGTAGTTACGTCAAAAGCTTGGCAGGAATATTATGAAAATAAGGAAAACAAGAAAATAGTGGAACTAGAACTGAAAAGGGAGAGAGCTTTGGCAAGACAGAGAAAGAAGGAAGAACAGACTGCTGAGAATAAAAGGAAAGCTGAAGAGAAAGCTATGAAAATGAAAATGAAGACTACAAAGCAACGAAAGAAGAAAATGAGAAAGGAAGAGACATCATCAGAAGATGAAGGTTCTTGGATTCCCTCGGATGGTAGTAGTACAAACGATGTTACTTTAGATGTAGAAGACACTATGGAAGATGAAGAAGAAGAAGACGACATTATGCAGTTTCAGGAAAATATTGAACCCCCTTCAAACGAAACTATTGGACCAAGTTCAGCAATTAAGGAATCGAAAGATACAGAAGAAAGGGGAGAAAGTATTGAAGGGACTTTAAATTGGACTCGGAGGAAGGATATGTCCGAAAGACAGAGTCGGAATACCATTGAAAAGGAAAGGGAATCAAACATCCTGCATGAGAATGATTTTGTAGTTGCCACCTTGTCTGGTAAGAAAAGAAAGTACAAATGTGTGTGCAAAATTACCAGTTTAATCAGTGATAATATCGCAGAAGTGATTGTGTTTAATTACATAAATAGGATGAAAAGCGTATTTGCTAAAAATGAAAAAGATGTACAAACGATAAATATTTCTCAAATTGACTTGAGGCTTCCTAAGCCTCTAATTTTTGGAAGAGAGAGTCACTGTCAATTCTCGAAAGGCATTGACATAGATAAGTAGTTCAACACAAATTAACAATGCAACAATATTTCCTTAAACTATGCTGACGTTAATATTTGAGTTCTCCTAAATGTAACTTAAAAATAATAGTATAAAACTGGGTTCTAAGTGTTTAATATTGAGTGTAACAATAATCCATTCCAGTATGTTAAAACTGATCTCATTTATTTCAACATTTGTATTCGTTAAGAATAATGTAACAATAACAAAATAAGAAAGTTTCTTATACTAACTTTGTAATGTTTTATATTTATGTTTCATAATACTTATTAGTTCAATTTTCATATAAACATTACAAACTATACACATGAAATTTACATTTGTACAATTTGATATTTTAATTAATTTAATTTAATTATGAGTTGTCATTATAATTAACATAGTGTTCTTGTTCTTTATAGTAAAGACTGTCAAATTCTGCAAGTTGTGAAAAATAAAAACGATTTCATCTTGAATATAATCATTTCTATATTCCTTGTCCACTACTGGTGCAAATGCCTGTCCATTACTAAATATCTCAATTTTTTCAATGTCCACTACTGAAACATTTTCAACCTTACAAAATAAATTAAATTAAAATGTATTCGACGAGACTGACATAATTAAAATCCTTACAGTGAGTGAAGAAAGATTTTGTCTAACAGACAATATAATTTTTAAGCCATAAGGCTTCCAAATAGGGGTCCAGTTTCAAAAAAGTCGAAAAATTTTCCTTAAAGTGTCCACTACCGGTGCATTTACCTTATGTCAAACTGCTGCAGATATATTAAAATATGAAATAAATAAAAGTGAATGTAATAATGTTTTTTTAAATAATACAAGCAAGCTTTTCTTAAACCATTTCAAAACAAAATAAAAATGCAGAAAGCTTAAGCATGATAAAATTAATTATTTATAGTTTAAAATAATTAGCATTTTATTTCAATATATGTGGCTCTAAATATACAAATAGTCAGATTAATTTCTTCAACACAGCTTACTCTCATAATAACGAACAATAAATTATGGATATTTAACTTTTGCAATATGATATGGTATTAACGTACATTCTTCATTCTTTTTCCTAAGTTAAACAAGAGTAAGATTAAAATTTCATTTCATTTTACTTAAATCATAATATAACAAAATATATGAATGTATGCATTTTAAAAGTCAATTAATAATTTTATTAAATCTATTAATTAATCATAATATGATGATAAAAAATGAGGGGCACATGCCCCAATGTACCAAAAAAAAGAGGGGCATATGCCCCTGTCTGTAGCATATCTTTACTTTCTCCTTTAAAAGAAAAATTTTAAATCCCACATGTGTAGAGCCACTATGACTTACATTAGTTGACTGCTTCTTAGTCAACTTAAAATGTCATATTTTGTCTCATTTATATTAAATCCCAATCAAATGCACATATACTCTTTGTCCTCCACATATGAATCAATGGTCTCATCTCTAACTTGGATATATACTTCAATTTGTTGTCATAAGTCAATACTTGTCTTTGTAATCACATAAGTATTGTTAAATACACAATAAATGCACATGTGGTACCCATTCATTCTATCTTTGGCATTGACTTCTGGTAGATTTTGACAATTTCTGGCACCATTTTTAATGTTAACCATAGACAGTCAATCACTGTTGATCCATCCACTTGAACTAGCTATACAATCAAAGACTACTGCATCACACATTCAATTCCACAAAATGGATGTAAACCAACTGAAGTATCTGGACATACCTGAATTATTGGTATGGATGTTGTTGCATTTGCCTGTTGCTTCAGATGAAGAAGATGAATAAAAAAATGGTGGAATATCTGCACCGTATTACTGTAATCCAACTCATATCTATAAACCTTTTACCGGTGCTCTTATCATCACACTCTACAACAGTTACAAACATTTTCAAACTGTTACGGTTCTTCTTCAGGTAACGATCCATGCATAACGCGCAAGTCCGCAGCGACGTCATTGGGTCGGGACATCGTTCCGGATCATACTTCATAACTACTTTGAACTGCATTCCATTAGGGAATCGTTACCTGAAGAAGAACCGTAATGGTTTGAAAACATTTGTAACTGTTGCAGAGTGTGATGATACGCGCACCGATAAAAGGTTTGTAGATATGAGTTGGATTGAAGATGAATCATTTGTATTAATAAAGTTATTTATTTGTTTTGTGAAAGACTAGGTAAAATAATGAATGCACTAACCTTATGTTTCTCCCAGCATGGTGAAAAAATTAACACAAACAAACTTTTTCAGTCTACCTCTAAAACCTGCTTCAAATTGTTTTGATATTCAAAAATGGAATGCACTGAAGAAAATATCTGTATAAATTCAAATTCTAATCTATGGAATGTCTCCACTTGTAGTTGATGTAATAAGTCTTCTATAACAATGTATCATAAAGGATTACTATGTGTGGGAAATTTGTTTTTTTTTCTTTAAAGATGATACAAATTCTTGCTTTTTTGCTTTAAAGATTTCCAGCACCTCCAATTTCCTGAAATGTTCCATTTTATTTATTTCTATAATTAATTTCTCTTGTTGTAAGTTGGCTTGAATATCATTTTCCCTAGCATATATTGAAAGGACAATGAATTGCCTTTTATTTTCTATACTCAAGTTGTGTTCTGTTATGCATTTTTTAAGTGACATTTTGGTTGAATTCAGTGGCGTGCAGTGACATTTGATGATAGGGAAGCTGTGCCGGTCCTGGATAGAATCATTGGAAGTGTTATACAATATTTTGGTGTGTAGCATCCACCAGCTAAACCGCCAGAGGTTGGTGCTCTGTAAAGCACATGTGTGTGATGTTCACCATGAGAGACAGTATGATGCGCGAGCATAATGGTACAACAAGAAGTACAAAGATGCTTTGTCCATGAAGTACTCTTTATTCTTCCTGAATAGGTTCTTACAAGGGATTCCAACTTTACAAATCTGGTTACCAAAGTATATGCAAATGGGGTTATCTTTGCACCTTTTAACAGTATCAAAAGGTACTGTGTGTAACAATTAATATTCCAGTCTTGAGAAACTTACAGCTAACTTACATCTAACTTAAATTTAAAGAAATTGAGAATATAGAAAAGAGAAAGAAAAAAAACAAGGGAAGTAGGGAGGAATGGAAATACCCAAGATTTCTTTGTTCGGTGCACTCTCTTGGGTAGGACGCTAACTTAATGTTTCGTTCTTTAGCTTTACCAATGTCATACCTATTCTTAGGTCTCGAAACTATTGGATCTTTCAAGGTGTCTTCAAAACTCTCTTGCCTGTTGATCTCTCTTTTCAATCTCTCTGAGTTCATAGTCTCTTATCTCATTCTTCTCCGATCTAGAGCTTTGCCTTACACACCCATCCTCTCCCAGATCTTGCCGAAAAGTGTTCTTGTTACACTGGCCATTTTGCCCCAAGCATCTTCAACTCTTTTGTTCTATCAAACTTCCAAGAACAACTAATCCCACCCAAGAGTAATAATGGTTCAGAGTGAAGATTCCAAGAAGGATTTAGAAAACAAGGAAAAGCAGAGTATTAAAATAAAATTAAAGACATATACAATATTATGGCTGACAGTCACATGTGAATGCATGTAATCTGGCTGCTTTACACAATTCAGATATTTTTGCCGTGGAAGCTATCCCATATTCAACAATACAACACTTCAATTGGGAATATGCATATACAAATTTATATTTGAATATATTGTGGCCGGTGGCCATATTGGCATACATTTATTTTATTATTATTGGTATATACATATTTTTAGTTCTAATATTCTTTCCCTATTTCTTCGATTTCTTTGTGTGTTCATTCTAGAACATTCCATGACCGTTATAGCCTCTAGGGGGGACTGCACTCTCAGAGGGGAGTAATTTCCTGCACTATTGTTCTTAGCGATTCTGCGAATCGCTAAGAACAATAGTGCAGGAAATTACTCCCCTCTAAGAGAGGAGAACAAAGAAGGGTGTGTAGAGGGGACGGAAGAGGTAAGAAAAGAAGAGAATCGAGGGAGACACGGGGAGAATAAGACGTGTCGAGGTGAACTCCGGACTTGACTGAGAGCCGAAGAAAGAGAGACTTCTCGGGAGGGTCAAGTGACGGACTGGAAAGAATCAGAGTCCCCACGGCTGAAGGCCCAACGACAGGAAAACTGAAGACATTTTACTTCACTAAGGAAGTAGATCCAAACCTAGATCCGAGGACACAGTAAGAGTTGGGAAGAGAGTGCCAATAGAAAAGGATCCGACCTAGAGCGCAAAATCATATCGGAAAGAATGAGGAAAGTCCCGGGTGAAGTTGTTTTTTCCTTCTATTTTCCTTCTTGCTATCCTATCCTTCTTATATTTTCCTTAGTATTAAGCTAGGTTTAAGTTAGGTTAAGTTAGATTTTATCACGCGTATAGAAGATACATATTGTCACGCACCAAGTTAACGTCACCCCGCGATTTCTTGTATCCATCACGTTGTAATGATTGTACCTGAATCAATTGGGATCCATAAATAAAAGAACCTGTTAGTGATTTGTAAGAAAAGTGTTGGTAATTATAATTGTCCTTACAACACAAAAACCACAATATAATAGCGATCTAATTATTGTTTTTCACATGTATAGAAATTCGTAATAAAATACATAATGTGGTTATGATAAAATATTAATTTTAAATAATTGAAAGTACTGTACATTAAAATATGAAAATAATTGCACTATATGTATTTATATTTTAGAAAATACAAGGGAATACAAAGGCTCTTCCACAGCTTCCATGGACGGCACGCCACTGGTTGAACTTATGCATGTTAGGTCTTTTTGAAACCTTTTATCCTAATTGGTATTTTATAAATTCCAGGGGCTATTTGGTAGTCAATGGATCTTTTCCATTGCAGAGAAGCTTAAAAATGTGCAAATTCCTTTTGTACATTATTTTAACTCTTGGATATGATCCAATTTCCAGGTATATACAGGTAACCCCCGTATAACACGGTAGTTACGTTCCAAAAAATTGCCGTGTTATGCGAATCCGTTATACGAAACAAAGAACTAGTACAAAAAGGAGGGTTAGGTTCCAAAAATTAAAAAACATGCTAGTATATTTTCATAATTAAGATAAATATCTTCATTAAAATTTTTTAAAGTGATACATATTAATTTTCTTCATCATCACTAAAAACACTATTAATTAACCGAGAGCGTTTTCTTTTTGGCAAGTTATCCTTATCCTCTGAGCATTTTTCTGCATTATCTTCAGATCCATGCTTTACCTTTTGCAAAATGTATGTAATTTTAGATTGCTTGCTTCTAGTTAAAAGGTCTTTATAAATTTCCTTATATGGTGCTAAGCACTTATGAAGAATAAAGCAAGTATGGAATAAGGGAAAAACATTCGGCAACATCAGAAGCAGAAGCGTCGCGATCTGGCAACATTGAAACAAGTTTCGAGAAGGACCACGTGTATCGACAGAAGGCGATAAGAGAAAATTTACATACTTAAGTACTAATAGTTCACGAAAATAATAATTTTCGTGAACTATTATTACTTAAGTATGTAAAAATTTATTACATTTCCTATTGTACGAGGGTTTTACCCAATTCTCGAACAGTGTCAGAGTAAATCGGTGCTATAAAAGTACCGTGTTATACGGGGGATGGTACCAATTCTCGAACCGTGTTAGAGTGAATCCGTGCTATAGAAGTGCCGTGTTATACGGGGGATGGTACCAATTCTCGAACCGTGTTAGAGTGAATCCATGCTATAGAAGTACTGTGTTATACGGGGGTTACCTGTATTTTGCATACACCTTTCTTAAGTGATAATTTTATATTAATAAGCAAAATCTTGGTTTGATGTATTGTGTGAGTAGTGCAATGTGGACATTCTGCTTCCGTTGTTTTCATCTCATGCAAGCAAGTTAATTTGTGAATTAAGTTCCTGCAGTATCTATGCATTGTATCAATATTATGAAAATTTACAATAATATTTTGCATTATGTTTTATTTAAAAAACAAAAATTGCCTTCTAACTTAGATGTTTGATCTAAGTTCATTTTTTTTCTTTAAAT